TCAACAATCCATTGTTACAACACAGCAGGAAAAACAACTTCAAAACCTGGACAAGTCCCTTCTCGAAGCAGAAAGATGAGCGATTTTTGAACATTTTTGAAAAAATCCGTTGAGCAGTAAAGATTTTGACGGCAAGAAGCTTGTATATGTCTTAGAAATATTTCAAAAAGCCACCAGTGCGTCAACCAGGAATATGTCTGAATTTTCTCTTGAAGGGAATGAGGTGACATTCACAATGGAACCAGGGACTGCTGACCATTTGGAGAAGTGGTTTGGCCATGTGACTGGAGTTGTTTCTGAAAGCAATCCCGAGAAAATCATGAAGTTCAAGTTTTGTGATTCACAAATCAATCAAATGTCTCCAATTGATGCAAAGAGGGCATTTGTAGTCACAGAAAACAAGCTATACCTTGTTGATTCGACAGAGGTTGATTGCACCTTGACGAACTTCGAACCACTGATGACCAATGTTAAATACATTACTCCAATGACAGATCGTGGAATATATGTCCAGCAGACAGTTACGTAATCAAACGAGTCACATCAGATGGACAAGTGCGCCATTTTGCTGATTTTAAACATGACCAGTTCCATCCATCGCAAAGTCTTCGCATCTCGCACACCGGCATGATTCTATCCGTCAAAAGGTTTGATGATTCTTTCAGAAACAATATAATGATGTTTCAAGAATATGACAAGAACGGCGTTAAATCAAAAACCGTACAAAATATATGTTGCCAATACAAAGAAGATTTCATCTACAGCGTCCACACTGCAGAAGCCGTCTATGTTCTGAATACTTCCAAAGAACTTCCAACAAAGCCGTACCAACCTGGATGTGTCGCTAATGTTGAAACAGCAACAAAATACAAGGGAGTTATAGGACCAGATCCGGCCAATACATTCCATCCAAGAGGGCTATGTAGAGATCAAGACGACCATCTGATTGTTTCGGACTTCTGGAATCACGCCATACACAAGTTAACACGAGATGGAAAGTTCCAGAAGTTCTTGATGACCGAAGATGAAGGACTGATGTACCCAACTGCAGTTGGAATCGATAACTTAAACTGGTTATGGATTGCTCAAAGTGATGGACACATCCACATCAAATACATTCGGTAAAAGTGGGCGTAACTGTGGCCTTCAATGAGAACAAGTAACACCAGAGGTCTGATGGGGTAACGGTTACTTCCAACTCCATCCTAGCAAAAACGGATTCTATCTCTCATCAGACAGATTTAGAAAATAAAAACCCATTATAGTGATTTCATACCAAAGAGACAAATACTTGAACATTCACAAAACTGTTAAAAAACATTTGTTGAATACTCTTAAGATGCAAAGGAATGGATATATATATTGTATGTAGCTGCTGACAATTCAATGACAACCAACTGAATGAACTTTTGATACACAAGCAAGATATGAAAATAAATGTCATGACAGATATTGTGCATCATGAATACTATCAGAAGTGATTACATGTTTTTTAGTCAGTTACTTGTGGAACATTGAGCACAAGGAAGAGGTAGATTTCCTCCCTTAGATTTAAAATTTTAGATTAAATTTCAATTTTCAACTTCGAGAAAATTGTGGTCATATGAACAAGAAGTTCGAAAATGTTAATTTTTTTGTCTCAACTGATGTAGATGATTGAAAGTTACCAATTAGGTCAGTTTAAGTGTATCATTTGTAACAAATTTATAGTACTTTGTTATTTCCCCTTGGAAACTTTTGAATCATGGCCCCTAGCTAAAACAAATTCCTACTTTTGAAGTCAAAGATTTTAGAAAAAATTAAATTTGTTGTGTTACCTACATTATGATAGAGCTACACGTGCATGAACTTTTTTTTAACTGTATTGTAATTTTAAATGTCTGGATGTTGTTTTTTTTGTCACCCAAGAGAAAATTTGTGGATGGTTTTAAAGGTTATAGATTGTCATTCCATATGTACTTTTCATCTTTTTTTATACAACATTAATGGAATCATCCTTTTAAATTGAATTATCATAATTGCTATTTTTGGGGGGACATGTATGGCTTCAGCTTATGCCAATAATATCTAGATCATGCATATTCATGAAAAAGTATGAAAAGAAATTTCAAGTACAAGTATATGGGATGTTGTCCTAGTGGGCAAGTTACTGTCTTTTAATCTTTGATGTTGTCGCAGTTTGGGCTGAAAACAACTTATCTTACATATATATTACTTAGTTATTTTTTATCTCCATAGATACTTGTATTAGCTGATTATTACCACATATGCGTTTTTCTTCCATAAAATTCCATAGATTGGACACTGTAGATAATCCTATTGATTTTGTTTTCAGAATTTTTGGCACAAACAATATTTGTTAAAACATTTATTCAGTTCATTACAGTAAGTGGTTCAGATATCAAGTCATTATTACCCAAGAAAATAATAATAATAAAAACATCCATGCTATAAATTCAAGCAAAATGTTGATTATATTTTGATCCACTTATTAATCAGTTTCATCAAGGGAATGTGAAACGTGTACATGTAGATACAAAATGTACATATTTTCTGGCAAATTATCATCTTGAAATATATATACATATTATTTTCAAATTAAATCAAATTGATTTTGAGACTTGAATTGTTCAGTTTCTGAAGTGAGATAACTGAAAATGTTGAGTTTCGATGTGCCTTAAAATGCAGCTCAAGCCGAAAGGCTTGAATGGGCTTTTTTTCATGACATTAAGGAACTTATTGAAGTGGTGCATTATTTTGTTAAGAGAAAGTATTTAGTTTTGTCTTGTATCAACATGATGTTGGGTGATGGGAACTTATCTTTAGAATACAAAAAGTACTTGGTGTATTAACATAACTGGTAGATTGTGTGCAAGACTAGTTCATTGTTTCAAGTGAATTCATTTCTTTCATTCATAGTGTTTTCATAATGATATTAAAGACTGTTTGATGCTTTCAGCTGTTTGATTCATTTTGAGAACCAACATTCAGAATGTAAGTATCCTACAACAAAAGGCCAAGAGGGCCTGTATCGCTTACCTGGATCTTTATGACCAACAGTACTATATCTGTGCATATGTTTCACAGTAGATGCTTAAAGCAATATGACAAATTACTCCATATGGGTTCTGTCACTTAGTCAACCCCCTCGTCTGTGCAAAGTTGAATTGAGATTTTCTTATGTTTCCAGTTAAATATAATTGATAGCTTTCTTTTAAATCAAGGAAAGAAGATGGTCAAACAATATAGCAGAAAAATTCTTAGTTATAGCTGGACAGATGACCCAGGACAGCAGAAGCTTACTTGCCCTTTAGATCATTGTTTACAAACACAGATACAACATATTTGAGACTTGCACAATATATAGCAACAATTAAATATAAAGACAGGAAAAATTAAGGTACATATAATTATAAACCATAATCCTAACTCAAAACCAATAATAAAACATTTCATGCATATCATTAGTGATGCCACCATGGTCAGTGAAGCCCCGGTTACTGGAGATATACTGATAACAGTTTACTGCAGGCCCCTAAATACTGCATAGCAAATAGGATCAACTTAGAATTTCTTATTTATTTATGCTATAATTATGAAATAAAATGTAGCTCTTGCAATTCTCTTTCCGATCATGTTTTCTGTATTTTAATGCTGTGAATAGAGCATAAGTAATTGGCTAACATGTAGTTTTTCTCATTACTTAGCTCAAGTCTCTCAGACCTCCAGGGAGCTTGGCCTAATCTACTTTTCGGAACAGTGTGACATCACATGAAAGGTCTTTATAATTTATTCCAAATTATGCCAAGAAAATTTCCAGCCAAATATATTCCTTTAATAAGTCATTGGAAGGTTCTACACATTTGTATATAAACCTTTACTGGCCAAATATGATAGCCTTTGGTCAATCAGAAGTTGTTAATGATTTTACCAAATTTAAACCCCAGTGACCTTAAATATTTTTATGGGTCAAGTTATTTTTTCACACACTATGTGGGCACCATAAAAGGAACCTTTTGGCCAAATATTACGACTTTTAGCCTTTTGGTTAAGCAGAAGTTGTTCAAAGGTTTAACGCATTTGACCGTTGTGACCTTCAATATGGTTCAAGGTCATTTCTGTTTTCAAATATTACCAGGCATCATTTAGAACCTATTTTAGAATAACATCACTATCCTAGATAGTTGGTTAGTCAGAAAAAGTCATTTAAAGGTTTTAACACCTTTGACATCTGTGGCCTTGAAGATTGGTCAAGGTAATTTCTTTTAGCAAACTTTGTTGGGCTTGATCAAAGGAACCTTCCAGCCATATATAATGATTCTAGGCCTTCCGGTATTTTCGAAGAAGTCGTTTAAAGGTTTTAACATGTTTGACCTCTGTGACCTTGAATATGGGTAAAGGTAATTTCTTTATGCAAACTTTGTTGGGCTTGATCAAAGGAACCTTCCAGCCAAATATGATAACTTTAAGCCTTTCGGTATTTCAGAAGAAGTCGTTTAAATGAAAAGTTGATGGATGCAGGACGGACGCCAGATGCTGCGCTATGGCATAGACTCACTTGGCCAGGTGAGCTAATAAGTCCAGGTCATCAAAAAATGACCTTTTATGTCCTGGATGGGCTTAATCAAGACAAAAAGCCTAGGATGTCAACACGTTACTTCTGACTCATTTTAAGGGGTGGGCTTATTACAGGTCAATAAGCCTAGGAGGTCAACACATTATTTCAAACTCATTGTCGGGGGTGGGCTTATCACAGGACAATGGAATTAATTCTATTGAAAAGCAATATACACTGCTGGTGAATATAAGACATTAAAATTGAAAATTACATCTTTTAACAGTTGTCTATGAACACAGCAGTGTTTATTGCCAGATATGGGTTAAAGAACAATAGAATTCATTAATTATGAAAAGGGACAGAAGAATGCAACACATGAGAGACTGAAATGTTTCAGCTATGTTTAAAATGATTCAACCATAGTGATGAAATAAAACAATAAAACAACTGAGTGTCCTTTTAATGACTGTTAGCAAGTGAAAACAACAAAGAAATGTACTCTGGATTTGATGATTTTACTAATACAGAATGAAAATTGTAATGACAGCATTTCTGTTTTTTATGTTTCTTGCACAATTTTCTTTGAATATATCCACAAATTTCTGAATTTAAGCTTGCCAAGGTTTTCATATTGAAATAATAAGGCATAGTGTGATGTATGGTAGTTTTTTGGCAAACATTTTCCTAAACAGTTTAATTTTCTTAGACTACATCATGTGTTAAGAAACTATAAGACTGAAAGCAAAGCTTCTTATCAGGGCAAGTTATCAGCCAACAAATATGAGCCCTTGCAACCAGCATTATATGGAGGCTAAGTGTCTTTATAGCAGAGAAAATTGTTCACAAGAATCAACTGATCAGTAATTTGTATTGCTAATCAGAATACAAATTCTGGGTAACTTTGTAGTATACATAACAAAAAACCACATTCTTAAACTGAAATCTAATTTTTAAGAAGAAAATTGAAAATGTGCAAGAGTTTTTTCTAAAAATCCTGAACTTCTCGCAGGATAAATCAGTCCCTGTAACATCATTTCACTAATCGCTCATATCCATATCTACAGACTGTAGATTAATGTCTGAGGGTGTTGATTTCACAAGCTTCTCTTCTGATTCGCTGTTACTGTTCTCAAGCAGCTTCTCTTCTTCATCATAATTACGTATGACCTTTGTATCCTTGGCCTTTGACTCCTTATGTTTGTCATCACGGTCACGCTCCTTATCCTTGTCCTTGTGACGTTTCTTCTTCCCTTCCCTGTCACGATCACGGTCACGATCCCTGTCTCTGCTACGATCACGCTTTTTGTCCTTCCTAGACCTGAAAACATATTTGGTCACCACTGGTAAAAGCAAATACTTACAACAGATACAGATTCATCATACTTTTAATCAACAAAGTGGGAAAGTGTGGCAGACGTCTTGCCATTTCTACTCAATGATTTACCATAGAATGGTAAATGTTAACCCATTTGGGCCACATAATAACACCTGCTGTGGCTATTTTGAAATACTTAACATAAGTTTAGCACATCCTTCAGTTTACAATAAGCATGCCACATGTTACAATTTACTGAAAGCCTGCAACATCATACAATTTACTGTAAGCCTGCCACATCTCACAATTTACTGTAAGCCTGCCACATCACACAATTTACTGAAAGCCTGCAACATCATACGATTTACTGTAAACCTGCAACATCACACAATTTACTGTAAGCCTGCACATCACACAATTTACTATAAGCTATCCACATCTTACAATTTACTGCAAGCCTGCATCATCACACAATTTACTGTAAACTTGCCACATCTTACAATTTACTGCAAGCCTGCAACATCTTGCAGTTTCTTTGTTTATAGCTTCAGTATTTATTATTCACATGTTTCTGTAAAGTTGTCCAAAGTTGAAATATAATTGTTATCCTAAGTGTATATATACAGTAAAGAATAGAAATCACCAACTGCAGCTAAGACAAAAATGTAAAATTCTAGTTTTTGTTTTAGTTATTACCACAGCAAATGCTTGCCTCAATAATGGACACTCAATATTGAAGTGAAGTATTCTTCCTTTCATATTAAAGTATCTGAAATCTACATGGACGACAACAAAAAAAGCTTTGCTGGAAAGAAACTTAATTTACACAGTAACATTAATTTTAGACCTCTAATAAATGTATCTGCCAAAAAGGTTTAGGATGCATACTTATAGAGTTATACCATAGAAAAATCTGAAATAGGATGCCAAAACAGATGCTGAATTACTTCAAACCATTGAGTTTTAAACTGAAATAGGTGGAGGGAAAATTATATTGAGATAATAAAGTTGTCTCACTTGTGACGTGAAGAAGAACGGGATCTACGGCGAGATGTACTCCTGCTACGACGACTCCTCTTACTTGTCTTCTTCCTGTAATTACAAGAGATCATGGTTATAATCATCACAGGTTCAATTTTTCAATGAATTACAAAAAGCAGATTATTTTGTCTTTTACATTAAACATATGAAGCAGAAAAGCATCATGTTATGTTTCAACAAAATTTCTATTGATACATGCCATTAAGTTTTAGTATCGCCTGCTTAGCTATATGTTTACACTATTCAAGGTGCACTTTTTCATTTTGACATTTTACCAAGAGACTAGAAAAGTAAGACAAAAGTAGAATTGCAATTACAAGCAATAGCAGAAATCACCCTAACCCCCATCCAACTTCCCATGCCCCAACGGCCATCTGGAAACTTACACATTCGAGAAAAATTAAGGTGCACAACTAGATATCATACTGATCATATTTTCAAAGTTTATGTGAATCCACAGAGTACTTTCTGAAATTAACTGCAGATAAGAATGGCGAAAGAATAAGAAGAAAAGTAAAAAATTGAACAATAACAAGAAGTCATCAAGATTTCATTGGGTTGACTTTAGTGCAAGTTTAAGTTGGATAGTCCCAAGAGAATTAAACTTCAAGAGTGAAAAGCAGACTTCTATTGTTACAAACGTGATAAGCAATCTCATGCACACACCTCAGGTAATGAAGCAGTCTTTCTATGGAAAACGGAGTATGGATGAAATGTTAAACAATTTAACTGGTTTTGCATTCCCCATTTACAAATTTTCAGATGTTGACTTCATTAACAGATCATTTGTCTATCTTTTGTTTTCATTAATGTAAAAATACACACCCTCTGCTCCGGCTTCGACTGCGAGAGCGCCTGCTTCTACGAGGACTGCGAGATGACTTTCGAGGACTTCTACGAGGACTGCGGGAGGACTTTCTCACAGGACTGCGAGACAATTTTCTGGGGCTGCGAGAGCTCCTCCTAGGTGGAGGACTACGCGACAATTTCCGTGGACTTGGAGATTTTCTAACAGGACTCCGGCTCCTGCTGCGTGTCTCACTGGAAGATCTGTAAAAGAGCAAAATTTATGGAAATACAGAACATTCAAAAGGCATTAATTAACCAATGAAAGATGGTGGTACCATACTCATGCAACAGGAAATCAAAGTTATTTCAACACAGAGCCTACTGTCGGAATAATGCACAAAAGATATATCCTGGCAAAAGGCAGTTCTGACCATATTGTTTAAGCTTTGAACTCTTGTGCTGAAATAAACATCTTCTTTCCAAAACATTGGAATCATATTCGCATCTATGAAAAACTGAAAAACTAATTCCTTTGCTGGTGACAAGAATATCTGCATTGATGACAAAGAAATTCTGCATTATGAATTTTGAGATTCAGAATCTTTAGTGTTTAACTGTTAAATCATTAATTGTCATGAGGGTTTTATTTTCTTTGATTTTGAGAATACTGTTAATCCTTTGATAAATGTCCATGAATTGTTGAAATTATTAGACAGATTAAGGATTTATTGAGCTACATTTATGTCCATCAAAATTGAACCACAAGAAAATATATGATGTTACAGAATAGTAATTTAACAACATCTTAGAGGAAATAACACCAAAACAAAGTTAATGTGGAGGGATGAAGCAAAACTGATGTGAAAATTGAAAAGTGTACAGGTACAATGAAAAAATACATGCAAACAAACACAGTATAACAATTACAAAAATATACAGGCGTTTGAAGTGGGAATGGCGAGACGGCTACTCCATCAAACTGCCCAGAGCTGGTGATCTAACCATATGCAATAAACTATGTGACAATGATTAAGCTGATAAGAAATATGCTGCTAAACAGCCCTTAATACAACAATTACTGACCGACTCTGACACCACTTTTACTATGTATAACCTATTACACCTATTCTATGTTTCTACTGTGAATTTCATCAGTTTGTGATGTTTTCTACTGTAACAAAGCAATTTCAATTCCAACTTTCATGCATAAATCAGGACGGACCTGCAGATATCAAGCTTTATTATGTCCATCAGAGAGCAAAATATGATCAGTAGGTCAGTCCTTATTTCATAATCAAATAATCAAACCCTGGTTCAGTAGGTCAAACGGATAAACAAAAGCAGCCACTTACATCTATCATATCTATTTTACCATCTTCACTAATTGTGAATTCCATCCTTTATCTGCTATTGTGAGCATGTAAAGAATTTTTTTGTGAGAAATAATGTCACGAGAAAATGACATGGTTTTCTCACACAAACTAATGAAGTAACAATTAATGCTTTCCCACAAGAGCAGATAACTCTACATAACAAAAAGGATGATTGGTAACTTACAAGTCTGTGAATTAACACAATTACTTTTCTATCCTTGGTAAACATTACTGTGACAAAGATATAACATTGACAATGATGTAATTAAGTAGATTTTTTTGAATTTCAACCAAAATCATATTCTTTGCCAGAAAATACCACATGATTCTTACAAACAAAATATGTACAAATACGACAAACATATCAAATATTACAAGACTTTGTTCCTATGTGTCAGCATATTTTTACTTGTTAACCCCACCACCATGTACATGCAAATTTTGTATAGAAAATTGAAGTGACAAACACAGACATAACCAAAGCTAAATATTGTGATTACCTGAGTTTAGGCTCTGGTTTGACCTCGTCTGAAGGGTGGGATGGACTACATATGACAAAATAGATGTTTAGATGTAACAAGGGCTTACCAGTGGATCAGACAGTAGTTACAATTTGTAAAATAACATGACAATGTTACTGAAGTAATGTTTCTAATTTTGTTTTCCTTAGAGCAATAATACTGGAATTGGCCAAAGGGCATGGAGTCTCAAGACCCCTCCATGTATTTCAAATTTTACATAGAATTGCCCACCTTATTTGATGTCAATGATATAAAATTGCTGAGAATGATTCAGTGCTTTAAGGTCCAAAGATTTTTCCTGTCTAAGACATTATAAATTAATGTTTGCCATACTGTCTCAGTCCCAAGGTCACATTCAGTCGCAAGGTATGCTACAGTGGTTCAGTATTCACCAAAATATCACATTCTGTCACAAGGTATGCTACAGTGGTACAGTAAACACCATACCATTACAATCAGTCACAAGGTATGCTACAGTTGTTCAAAAACAGATGTCACAAATACCACAATATACAAATATACAATGTAACTAACACAAACAAATACGCAAGATTTACAGAAAATCTCGCACAAATATAGCATACAACAACACTAATCAGAAATGCGTAGAATTTTTTTCAGGCAGCTGCTATCATAATAATAGACATCAATTTCCATTCAAGCTTTAACATGGCAGTTCAGTAAAACCCTAAAAGTTTCATTATCAACGAACTTAAATCTAAGTGTCTGTAATCACAATAAAAATTACAACTACAATGTAAATGTGCTTTTATTACAACCATGTGAACTTTGAACCCTACTAAAGGATCCCTAATCTCAGACACTGAACTTTCCGTGTTCTTTCCATTTTTGACTCAGATACTGGTTTCATGAGTTTGTTACGAAGATATTTTACCTTTGGGATGGTTTTGTAGTGTTGCTTGGTTCTGTAGGGGAACTAAATTAAAATAAAACACATCAAAATGGAGACTTCTATTTCCTACATGTAACAAATGAATTTCTACTGTTTCAAGGAAAATTATAACTATTATTATTACTATAATTATACTTTTTTGTTATATTGCAGAGTTCAAGAAAGATGTGACTATTTTTCACATAAATTTTCAAATTTTCAATGTCACATTTATGTGTGTAACAGTCTAGCGAATAAGGAGTTGCAAGAATAAACAAATTTAACACTAATGTGAAAAGCTGAACTTTCCCAACAGGAACAGCGCTTTCAGTCTCTTTGGAGTGTAATTGCATAGATTCTACTAAACCTACATTCTCATATTTAACTATGTTAAAAATCGCTTGTGTATAAACCATTACTAATTTCAATACTATCACCAAGAATTTTGATATTTTCTAGGATACAAACAATATTGTTTTACTGTTTTCTTTCTCCTGATGTTTTCCATGTATTTGGTGACTACCAAATGAATTTTGAAGAAACCTATGATAGCTTTGCTACTCACTCTGTAAGTGCTGGAGGAGCCTCTGATGCATCCTTTTGCTTGCCTGGCTTGTTATCTTCCTTTTCTAGTTTTGGTGGTGACAGTGACCTCTTCCTTTCTCTGGACCGTGAACGCTTAGGTGTACGGCTTCTTCTGCGACTTCTAAAAGTACAAAGAACAAAATTTTCTTACAACCAGTCTGATCCTATGTCTTATTTGAAACTTATCTGAGTAATAAAACAAGGAAGAGTAAGAAATGTAACAACATTAATCATTTCAGAAAAAAAACTTCAACATTTTTTTTTAGTCTTCATTTACTACTCGTGGATGTCACATCAAATACTTTATCATAACACTTTGTCCCTTTCAGAACTTCCTTCAAGATGATGTGTATGTACTAGTGTTGACAAGAGAATCTGTTACAGTGGCCATGTGACCTACCATGTCTTACACTATACAAACACACTGTAGTAAGCAAAGATGGCTCAAATAGATGCCAAAAAATGCAATGTAATTTTTCATCAGAATGGGTGCAATTCTAATTTACAGTTTTGTATATTGCTGATATATAGAGCCGATCTCCAACATTGTGAATTCAGACAACCTTATCTTACAACACAAATAATTATTTTAGTCAATGTTGGAAATTCTCTGACCTTGACCTTGAGCGTCGAGAATAAGCTCTTGGAGGTGTCCTTGATTTACGCCTGCAAAATAAAAACATAGATCTATTAAGTTTCATTTCATAATAAATATCTAAAAGTCATGAATTTACACTTTAAATATAAAATTGGTGCTAGTTTCTCAGGAGTAATGGCAGTGCAATACACATACAAGTAATGTGAACTAAAATCTAATGAACACCTGTGAAAAAGGTAAGATTGGGAAAATGAAGGATTTTTACTGTAGAATCCATATTTAAAACCTGTTCTATGCCTACAACACATTCTAATACAATGTGTTTCCTGGTAAAACTAACGTTATGCTCTCATGAGTTAACTCCCTTGGATAGCAACACCTTTTTCTCAGACAGTCATATGACAATGATTACAAAATACAAGATTATATAATCTTACATGGATCTGCTCTGTGGACAGGGATAGCTAAACCCCAGTGCAAGAGCTTGGCTGGTCAGCTTTAGGCTAGTTGAGTGTTGGCCAGCCAAACTCTTACATGAAGGTTGGCATATTCCTGTCCACATAACAGATCCATGTTTGATTACTTTTCTCATATACTCAAAAAAATCAATGTTTCATGAAGCTGACATTTTAAAGTTGCGACAAAGTTATTTTATATAAAATGACAAAGCTAAGCTACCCTAAATTGTGAGTAGTATCAAAGCACATGTTAGCTGTCTTTTCCCCTGGTAGGGAAAAGAAAGATTTATCTCTTTGCTACCAATTACTGGTAAAGATTAACAGGTAAAATTTATGACTTTAAGCCAAATCAAACACTAAAGATCCTTAAATCATCATTTGTTAGTCTGTGCCGAGATAACAATTTCATAAAAGCATATTTGATGACTGTGTTTTGTTCCTACATATTCCCTCTCTTATATTGGTTGAGCTGTCAGACCTCTATATCATATAGTTTCCTTTGTAGTGTTACTACTGTATAAATTGTTTTGACTACAATCTTTGCAGTTGGCGCCCAAATCTGTAAGGGAGACAATATATTTTACAGTGAGACTATTTCGCCATACAACTAACTATAAAGCTGGTCGAACTCCTGCAATTTTATGGGGTAAATTTGTCTCTATAGGCTGTTCAGTAGCTTAAACTTAAACAGCAGTGTATATTACAAGTAAACTATTTTTTTGATTATCATTTAACTTGGATTATCATGACAGTCACCTTAAAAGCATAACACAAATTCAAACACTCGCATCTTACAATTGTAGTTAAAATTAAAAATTCTGGTGACTGAAATATTCTTGGGCCTGAAGAAAAGCATCTTTTTGACATTGCTTTGATTTGCTCTTACACAATACATCTGTTTGACCCTCTGCTGAAACCTTCCATTACCAAATATTTGTGAAAGTCACTTTCAACAACATCACTAAAACATTACAAAATGGTGATGAAATGCTCATTATAAGTCATGTATACTTAATGCATAATCTACGCTAAAGCTCAAAATAGCATTTCATATCAGAATTAATACACATCTATTACAATTTTCGCGGTTCTATCAGAGTGAACTACTCCAAATAATGTTTATCAGAAGTAATAATTATGAATTCTTACGTTATTTTCTCAAATCTGAAATGAAAAATCTATGAAACATACAAGTTTAAGAATTGAAAAATTCCAAATTAGAAAATGTTCCAACCTTTCAAATAATTTTAAATGTATTCTCAAAAGTGAGGACCATTTCAAAAGCATACTCTGAAAACTTAATTGATTAACAGTGCAGAATACACTGATCAAGGCATTTCTGACTGGTCAACTGGGCATATAGCTTTCCAATACTGAAGTCATGCATGTTTAGCTTTACACAATGCAATTCTTTCACTGTTACAGCATTAAATTTTTTGCTAGTTATAAGATGCTTCAGAAAATGTGCTTCCCAAATTATCAACCTCATATTACATGGTATTAATACCAAATTTTGGCAGAAGGCAACACAGATTGGGCCCTGGTGAGGTAGATTGAGGAATGAGAAAGATCAGCTGCTCCATAAAACAATGGGTCACCATCATTAAAGGATAATCAAGACCAAATTTGGTCAAAATCCATTTAGTCATTTTTTACTAGTGTTATTTTAAAGAAGGGACAAAAGAAATTCAGATTAGGTGAGCACAAAAGGACCAGTTAATATAAAAGGGTATATGATATCATTCAAACTAAAACCAGACTATAATCAGACACCAGAAACTGTAGATGTATATATCATTATGTTAAATCTGTGTTGACACTGGTAATTTGTCTAGATTGGCTACTGTAGATGCAATATGGGACACTTTTTTACTACGGCTGTCAAAGCCCTGTTTTTCTGCACAATACCTTGGGATCCATTTTTTGCTCTATATTCTGATCAACATGGAGATTAGATTAAACTGGTCCCTATCCAGATCAACATGGAGATTAGATTAAACTGTTCCCTATCCTGATCATCATGGAGATTAGATTAAACAGGTCCCTATCAAGATCAACATGGAGATTAGATTAAACAGGTCCCTATCAAGATCAACATGGAGATTAGATTAAACAGGTCCCTATCAAGATCAACATGGAGATTAGATTAAACTGTTCCCTATCCTGATCAACATGGAGATTAGATTAAACTGGTCCCTATCCAGATCAACATGGAGATTAGATTAAACTGGTCCCTATCCAGATCAACATGGAGATTAGATTAAACTGGTCCCTATCCAGATCAACATGGAGATTAGATTAAACTGGTCCCTATCCAGATCAACATGGAGATTAGATTAAACTGGTCCCTTTCCAGATCAACATGGAGATTAGATTAAACTGCTCCCTTTCCAGATCAACATGCGGATTAAACATGTTCATGATCTAAGCTGGTCAAGCAATATATGGGAGATACATAGACCTATTGCAAAAATTAAATGATATCTCTTTATATAGCTCAATACTCAATGACAACAGTGTGCACTTATAATTTAGGTATTAATTATCCCATTTAAATGTTCCAATCACAATAACATAGCTACTAATAATTAACAAATATGAAACACTTTCCTGCTTTAGGCCATTGCTTAGTTGATCACACAGGTTTTGGTCAATACAAAATGCAGATGTATGTCTTTTATGAAACTATTCCATTCTCCCTCCCCCCTTAAACCAAATAAAAATTTGTATTCCCATTTTTTTTATATAAAGAACTAAATTTGTAATGTCAATGGTAAGGTTTTATCCTTTGTGAAAAGAAGTATTGATTTAGCTTAAGTGAACATTTGAATTTTCCTATAAATGCCAAATGTCATCCAAATCCCCACTTTGAAAATGTTAATCAGTGTCAAATTAATCACTTCTGGGAAGTCATTTCACGCTGTGTTAAATTCTAACATTGTTAGGATAATTGTATTGCAAAGGAGCATGACTGATTAAACCTTTCAGGAATCCCTGGATACAGATTGAAACTACTGCGATAAATGCAAATTCTTCCTCAATAAATTTAAGATTTTTCAATCCACTCAAATACAATATAACTGGATACCAATAGCAAAAAATGTATCTTATATTTTTTTTTTACCTCACTGCAATTCTATTGACTTTTCAAGGACATATCCGATAGCTATCTACAAGCTATACAAGTTTAATTCTAAATCTGGGGAACCAAAGTTAAATCACATGTACCTGGTACAACACTGATCTAGGAGATGACATGCACGCGAAGAAAATTAAGACAGAGAAGAAATTTGATGGATTGAGCGAGGGGGTCATACTACCTGATTGGGAAGATGATTTGACCCCGCAGTGGACCCCTAAATAGGAAACAAAGCTTACATTTAGAGGGGCTCACCACCACATGCATAGGAAACAAAGAAACCCTGCCTGAGTCATCATTAAAAAAAAAAAACTGGTTTCTCAATACAGAAAATGTATAATGAAATTAAAACTGGTTTTCTAGTTAGCAGTTCAACAATACTATGAGTGTATCATTTGCTCAGTATTTTCTTTTATTTCTCCATCAAATACGATGTGTTCCCATTGGATTTAACTACTTTTAGTGATAAGTGTATATAATATAATGTATTAAAATTTCACTTAGTAAATCTGTGAGATTGATTGGAAAGCAGTAGATAAACTAGGACTTTATTTACCTGGTGGGGAAATAGTTCTTTCCTTTCTCGTCAGTACTTCTTTAAAAAGGAAAGAAGAGTCTGTTACAATTTAAAAACTATTCTTCAAGCCATTGTGAACAACAACTTCTGATGTGTTATAAAAATTATTTTTTAACTAAAGAAAAAATGTCAAAAAGTTTTCTTCACTTTTTCGCATGTAAATATGTTTATTTCTACAGCAAAATTGAAATTATGAATGAAAAATGTGGTTTCCGTCTCATTAAACTCACTTTTCTGTTGACCCTTGCTTGGATCTGCAATAAATAAACTACCGGTAAAAATTTTGAGAAACAAATATACATTAACTCAGCAATCAATTCTGTTTCATATTTAGTATTTATTTACTGTTAATTACAATAAACTAGTAAACTACAAGTTAACAATACATATATGATCCCTTTTCACTTCTTGAATCAAATTAATAAAAAAGTTCTACACAATAAATTGTCAAGATTTTTCATTTTTAAACACCTGCAGTGTAGAAACAGCATGCATTGGGGTAGATTTAAAATAACCAATTAAACTCTGTACATTATTGTTTTCTTTTTCCAACTAAAACTCACTTTTCAGTTGATCCCTGCTTGGATCTGTAATAAACAATTTCCTAGAACTCAGCACTATTACCTAAACATAACATCTTCCACTGACTTTGTTTGCTAGCTAAATTTTAGAAGAAACTTTGTTGGGAAACAAAAATTAGAAAATTTGGACACAGATCAACTAGAATTTACTGTTAAGATACCAAACAGAAATTTGTCTGGTAACATTATTCAATTAATACAATTATAAATATATCATTAGTTTTTATTGTTACAAAGAAATTTTAGTAGTAACACACTTTCCTCTTATTAAATCTAGAAACTTAAAAGTTCGTTCTCAATGGCTTCTGTCTTGATTGAAGTTGTCCCTATATGGTATGTGACAAATATTCACTGTAATGCACATGCATTCAAGCTTGGATTTAAATCCTACATTATCTTAAGGTGGAAACACAGCCCAAAATTTGTAAATAATTGAGACCAAGGTTAAGAGACGGTATCGTGTTTGTAATGTGTAATGTGACACAGCATCAGTATGTTATGATATATACCTATAAATATATTGCCCCATTCATATCTATAAAACGGCATCCCAAGATTAACACTGGTCCTTATGTATATGCAAACAACTTTCTGTAAATGAAATTACAATTGCAATTGGTAATGATGACCTTCAGTGGGTGCAACAGTTCCTTCTTATGATGTAATTAAAGTGAAGTCAGGATATAGATATAGTATCTAGAAACTTGTTTCCTGCATCAGAGATGATAGTAGATACAGGATATAAAAGGTTATCATGACCATGTTGTAATACATGACAAGTCACCTTCATATGTATCTATATATTACACATGTGATAATGTTTACACAACAAATAAAATTAAAGATACGCCCAAGAGAAGCCTATATTTCTGCTTTTGAATAATTTTGTTTGTTTGCTTGATTCATTGCCCCATGAACAGCCAGTGTCATGTTGAGGAAAGGCCTCCTGAACAACATATGGGAGGTCTGTCGCATACCATCCAGAGTAATATGGGCAAATATTTTGCCCAAAGACACAACCAAGACTGCATAGAGCTAGATGTTTTTCAGCTTCCTGAGATGCAAAAAAAACTGGCACAATACGAACTTTGCACCTGGATCTTCACCTGAGGTCATATGGGCCACTGCTCAAATGACTCGGCTAGCACAGACCCGTATATTTCTCTAAGGGTCTATTTCTGCTGAAGTAGTTTAGAGGATGTGATATTTGAAATAAATAAGGCATTCAGTAGAAACTTGAACACATTATTTACACCTAAATGTAAGTTTGATTCTTCTATTTGAAAGGACATACCCATTTCACTTATGCCTCGACCCTTCATATTCGTGATTTGACTTTGACAATGTTAAGGGTCAAGTAAACAATTACTGAAACGAGACAAAATCTTACCTATCACTATCAGAATATTCTGGAATATGAGAAAACATATCAGACCTGGCTCGAAAAGCTTGAAAAAACTGTGTAAGGATTAACAAAACCTTGGCATGTGAAACAGTAAATGTGATGATGTTATTGTTGTAGTGTTTAATTGTAAAATTGTTTACTTGTAACCTAACAAGAAGCACTAAAGGTTACAGATTAGAAAGCAACAAGTTAGGTTAGTAGGATCAGCTAACTTTTTTATTCTAGGTAAACCTGAATAGTAATTTATTCACATAAGAGTTATTTTACACAATAATCTGAGGTGTTCAACAACCAGATATAGTTAGGGAGACAACAGTTCTTTGCATCAAATCGCAATGTCATGACCAGGTTGTTCAAAGGTGCTCTTTAATTTTCTTCAAAGTTTTCAAGCAGTTTTGAATTATTTTTTGTGGGGAGAGTATAACTGAAATAAAGCACTTTGTTTCCAAAACAGTGCTCTATTATCCAAGATTGGTTGCTCAAATCCTGATCAAAAATCATCCAAATCTGTACAAGCAAGCAATCTTCAATTTAGATTTTTTTGTCTCTATATAATCAGAGATGTCAAACAAAATTGAGAATTATTTTTTGGTTTTTAGAATTAATCTGTGTTAATCATCATGCTCAATTTGGATAAGTAGATCAAAATTTGAGCAACACTTGATACAATTTCAGAATGTATGCCTTTCACGTGGATAAGCTGCACACATTAGAATTACACCATATTTTTGAATCACTCACCTTGATCTTGATCTGGAACGTTTGCTTCGAGTTCTTGACTTGGATCGACTCCTATGACGAGATCGGTCACGTGACCTTTTTCGTGACCTGTAGTAATGATTTGCACACACAATAAACATATTGGATTATCATGGCTAAGGTGAAATCATGATAATTTATACTGATCATCAAGAGTGGTAATGTAATACAAAACATTTAAACTTACTGAATTATAGGGATTTTGTTCAGTAGTTCTGAAGGGGACATGCCATCTTTACAAACATTAAAGCAGAAATTTTGTAATAACCTTATCTCTAAGTATCCGATAATGCATGTCATCTTATGTACTCTGTGTTTCAATGAATTGCAAAGGATCATTTTATCATAACATCTTCTGCCAGATGCAACAGGTCATTAGAAAGTAATGCTTTATCATGTACATTTTATGTTATCACTAACATTGTTTCAAAAGACTGAGATATTATAAACCTTAAATGTGCTGGTTAGAACAAATTGCCATCAGATGGGTGATAAGTGAAAATATGTCACTTGACTGAAACTACTCTCTTGTGTTGTAAACGAACAATGCCTGCCACAGACAATTTCTAAGATTCCAATGACATGGGATCAATTTCACAAACTGCTAAAATCTATCCAAGACCTGAATATTTTCTCCATTGTTCACAGTTTTTTTGTATTATATTATTGAGTTGAAAACCTCCGACATAGATTACCGGGTAGATACATTTCTTGTACATATTAACTATAGTTATCCATTTTAGAATTAGTAAAATTTTTAGTAACTATACCCTGCCTCCTGTGTTTTCATTTCATCCTCTGCTGAATAAGAGGAAACATTAACAAAAAATTTCTTATATCACTAAAACCATTTGTGGAAGTTTTGAAGTTATATAACAAACCTTCTTCGAGTCCTTGACCTTGATCTAGATCGCCGCCTTGACCTTGACCTTCGTGACCTTGATCTCCTTCTTGACCTTGATCTAGATCTTCTTCTGGAACGAGACCTTTTACGAGAACGGTCACGCTTCCTAGATCTAGAACGACTGCGCCTCCTTGATCGTGATCTAGACCGATAACGTTTAGTAGAGCGTGACCTACTTCTGTCTCGTCCTGTAAAAAGTAAGAGTGAAAATGTTTGGTTGAATTTTTTGGAATGCAAAAAAAGTCAAGCAACACTTTAGATAAGTTTGAATGATGATGAAATAACATATTTGTTAAATTATAAACCTCAGATAAGACATTTCATGACAATATCACTCATGTGGTAGAATTAACTAATTGAGTTGTATACCTCTAGATCAACATAGTGAATATTTTATGATCTAGATAAATATCAGGAAACTTTCAGTAAAACAAACCTTTGGACTTAAATAATACGCATGTTGGAAAGACTCTATATTCCTTCTACTGAATACTTCTAATCAAATGATGTGGGTGGCAGTTATCTTGGACAGTTGTAAATATTATACTGGAAAATCTAGTGGAAGCAAACAAATTGTATGAAGATTTGAGTGTGTGTTTAATTCATTATTCTTGAACTTGAAACATCCAAACACATATGCCTTAAATACAAAACCTCAAACTGTGTTGCCTTTAAGAGATGAAGAGCTTTCACGATGCAGCATTACCTTTGTCGTCAACTGCCGCCGTGATGAGAGACTGAGCCTCCTTCACCTTCTTCATGGCTTCCTCAATTTCCCGCTGGGCTGCCTGCTGGGTCTTAGTTATAGGTTTTGTAATGGCATTGGTTGCATGACCGACACTGAAACAAGTTACAATTCAGTATCAATTTATTAATACTAAACAACAGTGACTGATAACTGGAAAATGATAATGATGAACATCACTGTCATCTTACATACATCCATAATACCATATTTTACCGTAATTAAGACCTTTCCCAACTTTTGTGCTCTCCCTCCACCACCTCCCCCAAAGGAAAAAAAAAAAAAATATCAATTGTTCTTCTAGGTAATAGTCAGGTATCAGTAGGGGAGAGGGCTTATTTAGTCAAAGTACAAGCAATTACTATAAGACAGGATTTGAAAATGAAACTGCCTTTCGTCTTTTTCCTGAAAATCATTTTGACGCTGTCTTTTTGACATATCCATGAAACTCAAATGACTTGTATTCCACTCCTGGAGTTTAACAGGCTGTTTGATAAAACCAAGACTATATGTTCCAGTTGGGCCAATCAAAATTTTTCAGCGAACCATACTTCAACAATCATTATTATAAATAGCAATTGATTGTAATGATATATAATTATTTTATGATAAATAATTATTTCATGATTATAATTACATGGAATAATTGGGTTTTTTGAAAGTTTCATAACACTCTGAGTGATCAAGTAATCCTGCAAAGCACACTTTTATAAAAGTGCCATTGACAAATACATTTTTGTACAGCATTAGGAAACTGAAATGTTGTTTACATACTTTAACAAGTTAAAATAAACACAAATAAGACACTGAATTCTTATGATCAATGTATCCTCTTGGGACTTACGAGATTGGCCTGCCCTGGAACACAACTCCGTTGTAGGTGAGAGCAGTGGCGACAGATCTCTGGTCTGTAAACTCCACAAAAGCAAAGCGAGACAGCAAACTTTCATCTCCAGCCATCCTCACATATTTTATTTCCCCAACCTGAGAGAAGAACTTCAGAAGCTGGTCAGCAGCTACCTGCATCAGAAAGTTCAAACAATTCTCAAGCATGCATTTGATTTGGATAGATTTATGCAAAAATTTTATGGAACAAACCAAATTGTTTGACTATAAAATGAAATGAAAATATCAGTTCTTCTTTTAAACTGTCTGTTCTGAATTAAAATTTCTTGATATAGGATTTAACAACATAAGTAATGACCTTACTATTTCATGGTTTTATCCATATTAAATATACCTGAACTAATATATGTCTGAAGAATTTGAGTCAACTACTGAAACCATGACCTTAAGTGTTTTTCCTGTCTTTTTCAATTCAATGTGACAATAATTATTTTGAAATCAATAAATGTTTGTAGCACTAACAGGTGTGAAACTATAACCAAAAACTATCCCTGTTTTGACATCTGATACATTGCAATATATTTCCTTGGTCAAATCATGATCTACTTACAGTCTGGTCAAGGTTGCCAATATACACTGTGCGTCGGATTTCCTCTATCTTTGTAGGGTCAGTGTTCCCTGGTAGAGGAGGGTATTGTGGTAGTCCCAAGGCTGTCATACGTGGGTCATAAGTGGTAATCATCTGGCTTGACCCAACTCCAGTCATCTGAAGAAAATGAGGAAATTTTCATTGGAAAATTAAATATTGTTTATTTAGTTAAGTGCATTACAATGTAACCTACTCTTTAGTAAAATGCTTGGGTTTGCTTCAGGTTTGCTTCCCATTAAGAGCTGATGTGCTGCAGATCAAAACATATTGACAGATGGTACAGAAAATATCCTGTCTTAGGAAATCATCTCTTTCAGATTTCTATCATTATACAGGGGTCGAAATTAACTTTTTTAGTCACTAGCAAACCATTGCTAGTGCCTAAAATTTCCACTAGCAAAAATGATGAACTAGCAATTTTTTGGTGAATAAGTTTGACTTTTATTTACTGATATATTGAGTTTTTCAGGAACTGAGTGATATTGGAAAAGATATCCAAGACAATGGATAAGAATGGCTGATTGCTACCTGTATCAATATTTTAAATCTATATAAACTTTGAATTAATCAGTTTTCTTTTTTTCATGTATGAGCTACATCTAATCTGACTCTCATATGAACAGATCCATTTATTAATGTAACTGTACCCAAATTTATATTATTTAACAAATTGTTCACATTATGATCATTTCAACAAATTATTATGAAGACAACTGTTTGACAGAGTTCTGGACTTTTAAATTATTATGAAGACAACTATTTAACAGAGTTCTGGACTTTGTTGTATTTTATTTACCAACGCGTATGCAATTCAGTTCTTTTAATTTCCCCAAAGATCATTCCACTCCATTCCAAGTCAAATACACTACTGGCAGAAGGTGGGTCGTTTCTTTCTTTGTCCCTCAACCCACCACCTATTGACAGCTGCCATATATGCACATGGTTTTGGCAGTGATTTTATATCAGCAGCGTCAAGAGAAACGCGCCCTGATTTTGACGATTTTTTTTTTCAGAAGAGCCAGGCTCTGGCTGTTGACTATTGTCGTGGTCATCGCAAGCACTGTCAGATGCTTTCCTTTTGAAAAGTTCGTTATCTGAGCTGATATGTCCCGTTTCACATGATGAGCAGACAGAAATCGTAGAGTTTTCCAAGACAACTTTTTATTCGGTTTACACATAACTATCAAAGAAAAAACTGGAGGAATTCCGAATGTATTGATAATCTATGTCACTTTATCTTTTGTAACCTATTTACTCATTTAAAGGCAGACGGAGAAAGGCATTTTGTGGCAGATTATTTCATTTCCACTCGCAAAATTTTGCTACTTCATTATTTTCCAGCTAGCAATTATCAGATTTTAGCTGGCATTTTGCTAGTTGTATATAGTTAATTTCGAACCCTGATTATATCCACTGTAGTTTTCAAGTTTTGAGTATTGTTAATAATTCCAGCATCATCTCTTTCAGATTTCTATCATTACATCCACTGTAGTTTTCAAGTTTTGAGAATTGTTAACAATTCCAGCATGAGATTATTACTTAAATAAATACATTCGTAGGGAAAGCATTCTGGGATGTTGTATAAATGGTTATGGAGCTTGCTTTTAATTTGACTTCTGATTTTGAACATTATTTCACATTCACACGATGTAGGTACTTTGCTAAAATGAGTTATCATATCCTCTGCAAAGTCATTCCGGTTAACATTAATTTAAGTAAAACTGAGATGATTTTATGAAATTTTATTTGCAAAATTCTGAAAACCGTGCGAAGTTTCATCTCTCTTTGTTTCTTTGTAAGTTGATTGAAGGTATAATAAATTCTAACACAAATGTTTTGCACACATACATTACCATGATCTCTAGCTGTACCATGCTACTCTAATGTGTTAATAATAGGGCTCATGACACAGGTACAAAATTACCAGTCTGAGAACCAGAACTTTGCAATCTGACCCGATACTTTTCAGACACCAAAAGTGTAAACCATATGTAATGTCAGGTCCTATATCTGTGCATAGACATTCTGTGAGGGCACCTAAACTATACTACTTTAATATTTGCTAATTTTAGTTTTTTGAAATACATCAATAAAATGAAGGATTATTTATGTAATAGTTCATAAGCAAACTTTATTAAATGTTTCTCTGACGATCTTGATAAACTGCCATCTGTTGTCTATCAACAAACTATGGTTAACCCAACGGTTACCACTTTGTAAGAAAGGGTGCAGCTTAAATTCCCCTGCAGCTGATATGTGGTTCAAATCTAAGGAGTCAGTAAAATTCATCTCTGCGGCTTACAAACTGTTGCGACTTATAACCAGGACAAAATGTTATCCTTTTCCCAAATGGGCTACACACAAACCTTACCCATAACAGGTTACCCTTGTACAGGTCACCCAATCTATATTTACCTGACTCATAACATTACTGGGCCATGTTGGTTGTCCTGGCATCATTCCCGCCACAGCAGAAGGAGCAAGCTGAAGAGCAATGCTTTCATCAGGGATTTTACCTGCAAAACAAACATTTTAAATATGCTTAACTTATACAGTGCTATTTTTCTCATATTTCTAGAAATTACAGTTTGTATAAAGGTTCAAACTTCTTAGAATATATCAGATGAATGTATCAGTAAATAACAGCATTTAAGTTTGATAAAATAACATATCTCTCCATTCTTTGTAAACATGTTCTTTTGTTTGGGGAAGAAAACTAAAATCACTTTCTTTGTGAAATAGAAATACTAAATCAAAGTGAAATTACTGTTTTCACAGAAGTCATTTTTATGAGCCTTAAACACGATACTTAGAGATGTGAACTTAAGATTTTGTATCTCAGTGATCTTATAAATAATATTTGCACTGATGTAACAAAAGTGTATATGAAGTCAATGTCAGTAATATTACATTTATATTTTACAAATAAAAAATGGCATCATTTTAAGGACAATAAGGTATATTTGAAAGTTACCATCCATTACAGGGACCACAATGAGAGCACGGTCGATGAAGACAGTGTTGGTGAGATGCAAGGCAACACCAGTGCTTGTGACATCATCAAACTTGATGTAGCACACCTTTGGAGACACATGGCTCTCTGTTTGCCTGTAAACAGAAATGGTAGATTGATAAATAAAGCTTAAATTACGTAATGTAAAATGAACTGATTACTTTGTCACCTAATACATTGATGATTCAAAATCAATAACAGTTATGTTCTGTTGGAAAAACATGCAGAAATATCACAAATGAGATATGCTGCTAGAGCTTTCAAACCAATAATACATAAGTGTATGAAGTTTCAATATCATATGCATGTATGAAAAAAAGACCATGTTATGGCTATAATAATACAGCGAGATCAATAGCTTGGAACATGTGTGTATATTTTATACAAACAGCATGGGTAGTAGTGGAGCATCATTATATATACTCATTAAAGTTAGCAATGTCAGAAGAGATTTTGTACATATGACCATAGTATATACCAAGTTTCATTTTGATATTTTTATAAATGGTTGAGTTTGGGAGAGTTGGATTTCCCTCAAACATTGGCAGTACAAGTGTGTATTGTGTAACTCACTTGAAAACCATGTCTTCAAACTGTATATCTTGAAATACATAATTAAGTTACTGACATCAAAAGATATGCTGTTAATATAACAATACATTAATGTGTCAAGTTTCTGTTACATACAATAAAACATAGATAAGTCAAAGTCAGCAGGACCAAATGAAATATTTGACTTATCCCATAGTTTGACTTAGCATGTTTCTATGAACAGAAACATTTTGGATCAAAGATTGACCCTATTTTCAACGTTGTTTACCAAAAACCAACTAATTGCTTCTAAAATTTTTGAGGAAATTTTAAGTAAACACTGATAAACTCAACAATGAAGTCTCTATTTCTGTGGTGTTGTTTGTGAACACTAAAATTCCTAATTATTTTCTATTTGCATTTGTTTTTCAACTAGTATTCATTTATAAATACTGAACAATAATCATAATAATAATGCTAAATAAACATTGTTTCAGTTTTATTCATTGCTTATTCTGTTTTGACACACACACCATGGCCAGTGATACACCCAGTGAAATGCTTATTTTTGTTATTTAATTTAATGTAATTTAATTTTTTAATGCATTGATTTACTTTCTTTTCAAATTCAAATTTAAAAAAGAAAAACACAATCAAACAGTCATTGAATATGATAGTATTTTGCTTTGTATTAGGTCAAAAAGTTTTTTTTAATGTGTGTGTGTCGTCCTTTGGGGATAAGAAGTGTCAAATACTCAAGCTATTGTGTACTCAGGACTTATCAGTTGGACATACACAACATAAGCATTAATAGAAAGAAAAAACCATGCAATTTTTAAAAATTAACATCTTTAAGGATTATGCAATGGTAGGCTAACCTACTATTAATAAAAAAATCAGTTGGCACTAACCAATTATATCTGATCACAGATGTTGAAATCTATCCACAAATACTGAATTCAAAAATGTAGAATTCAACATTGTCATTATAAAGTGAATATATGAAATTAGTTTGATTTTTTCATCTATGTTTTGTGTATCAAACCAGCATCATTGGCCTATTTTTTTCAGAAAGCTGTTGTACCTAAATGGGATTGATTGTGCAGAATTTTATTCGCAAACTTGCAAAGGACCTTTCCCTTATGTAATACTTGAAAATGTCTAGTAAATTCCCTGCTGTGGTCATGGACTGCTGTACATGTGGTCATCATAGATCAATTTTAGTCACTACTATAGAATGACTAAAAACATCTAATCTCATGTAAATGGTCAGTTTATTCCAAAGAGGATTGCTGATAATAACTATTTATTATTTGAATCTAACTTTGGATTTGAAAATTGTTTGACTCAATTAAACAAAAAGTGACACATAAATTTGTATAAATGCCACATGTCAAACTTTTCACTGCTCTACGGAACTAGCTGTTGGACTGGAATTTCGAGATCGTGACAAAAGAAACTGTTACATTGTATAATGGGAATGAAATAGATGATTATAATTATTGATATGGTCCTTTGAAAAGTATGACTGCAAGTTCTTCATAAATCACACATATCATGTTTACATAGCAACTTTGCCTAAACTACAAATGTACCTGTGCTAATTTTATTGAGTATTTCATAAAGCCTGAAAATGCTGAACTTTGTTCCATGCTGCATGTATTTGTAAAAACTTGTACATGTGTGCCAAGATGCTGATATTGCTGATGTATCGGAAACACTATATGCTGGTCATTTGTTCTTATATGAAACTGAGTGAAGAATCATATAGTGATATATTGTAATTATTCTAATAACATAGTTTTTAAAGCCACCAACTTTTTTTTAAGTAGACCTATATCAATATATTTGATTAAAGACATTACTCATGAGTGTGATACACAATACACACGTATCGCTGATGACTGAGAATTTCAACTATCCCCAACTCAACCAATTTTTTTGAAATATCAACATGAAACTTGTTACATAGGTGCTTTGCAGACATGTTTACAAAACATTTTCTGATGTTGCTCACTTCATTGAGTATTTTTAAAAATACAGCCTGAAGACACTTCACTATAATTCACACGATTTGTATAAAATGATCACAGGTGTGCCAAGCTGTCGATATGGCTGTAGTAAAATTGCAATATCTTGGTAAATTTTTCATGCATGAAACTGAAACTTGGATGATTAACAATTATAATCATAGTAAAATCATATCTTTTGATGTCAATCACATTATCAAATATTTCAAAATAATAAATTTGAAGACACTGCTTGTAACTGTGACACACATGTACCACTAATGACCAAAGAGAATTCAACTCTACCGAACTCGACCAAATTTTTGAACAACAACATGAAATTTGGTATAAATGTACAATACAGTCATATTAAGGACATATCTTTTGATGCTGCCGTCTTTCTTAAGTATTTTAAATGACATTTTCTGAAGACACTTTATGTAATTCATTGGGGGTGTTTAAAGAGGAATGTGGATCAGTATGCTAATTTCACACATGCTTAAAATTACCATGTGCTTGATTAAAGATCATAATGAAGCTATTTGTATTTGTAATGGTTGTGCACCAGTCAGGTTACTAGGCAATATTGAAACAGGCACAGACACAAAATGGAAAGAAATACATTGATTTTTTGTGTTTTAACCGAAGCAGTGTGACAGGACGTGTCTTGTAAAACATGATACTTTAATCATGAGGGCATTTCAAGAAAGAAAAATGTCTTAGTTAGCGCCGTGTTCTAGTATGCACACGCATGATATCGTATTTTTCGTGCGAGACATCAGGACGGCAGTAAGGTGCACCTGACTTAATTTCCAGAATAGATTTGATAGGGTCTGACAAGAGATTTAGACGAGGAACATATTCAAAATCTGATACCTCTACCGTCCCAAAAACGATTAATGCAGTCGGTTCTACCGTTTGACCCGCTTTCGCGAAAACGACTTAACATTTTAATCTTATAATATACTTTTGAGAGTTACATGGCCCCTTAGGCTGTTCCCCATAAATCTGCCCTTATCAATTTTTCTTTTGTAATGGAAATAAAATGCCTTACATCATCGGGTCCATCTCAGGATCTGGAAGGATTGCTTCAGGAGGATACAGTTTGATTTCATCGATTCTGCCGATGTAACCAAAAAGTGTCTTCATTTGATCCTTTGATGCAGCAGGCGCGACATTAGTCACTTGGATGACCCGGGTATTTATCTTCTCGGAAGACATCTTAGCATGTAAGCTTTACGCAAACGAACGCATGAATAGCGTAAACGTTTTCTGTACGATTCCCCCACGAAATCGTTCAAAGATGGCGTGCTTTTTGTTTGACGACCGGTATATGATTGTTGAAAATAATCACGTTATTTTCATTGAATATAAAATATCATAATCAGTAATTACCAATATAACCTCTTATATAGCATAAGACAATATTCAACAATATTAGTTAAGTTTTAGAAAATTTTGGAAAAGTCGTAAAATTGAAAAATTGAATTGTTTTTGGTTATCTTCCTGTCTGCACTTTACTTCCGGTCTAATTCTTTTCACGCCGGTGTGGTAGCAGCTCAAGAAATTTCGAGATTTATACTGTGGCGGAAAACAGCAACAGGTAATATTTTTTACTTTAAAAAGTTATGTTTACCGATAAACTTTTAACATTAAAAGAAAACTTAGTTTTATCGTCAAAATCCTGTAAATAAATAAAGATGTCGACATATGTTGATATGACTGCCATGTCAAGTCGTCAGACTGCTTGATCTGTAAAGGTGCTTCCCGAGGCTATTTAAATGAATATTGTGTACACGACCGAAGAATTTCTGTCTAATTTTATATATCAAATCCATTATGTACATATGGAGATCTACATGTACAGTACGGACACAATCTGATTTAACTTATACACTAGATAAATTGAAATTTAGTGATTAATCTGTAGCATGCTCTTCGCCAAATCTGTTTTCATCATCCTGCAAATGTAACAAACAAGTCATTCAAGTTTATTCATAATCCTCATTCAGTAAAGTAAATATGACCATTTGCTGCACAAGCGCTGGTTACATGTCATAAAGAAATGATTTTTTCATGTGTTGTTCTTTAATCTCTGAAACTTTCCATATCTTAGTATTAAACCAGAAACTTGATTAACAGGAAACGAAATTTGCTTTTATCCTGATTAGTTGAAATCTACATCCATCAACAAATTTTTGGCACTACTGGTTTCAAATTGTATACATATGTCTTCGTTGATTTTGTTTGAATTTTCTTCTTCTAAGCAAAGAAATAAGAAGACTTCCTGGAGTGCATGGGGATGCATGGGAAAAAAAATTTGAAATATGTTTTCTATTTTATTTTTTTTTGTTTTGTTTTTGCTATAAAATAAAACTATGTACAAAGAAGAATTTATTTAGTGAACTAGAGGATCAAGAATAGCTGGCATAAGCTGATCTTGAAAGAGATCTACAGAAGCTTTTTCTATAATATTGCTGCAGGTATGGTATTCCACTGGACAATGGTACAATTTTTAGCATGTTCTGTTTTTGATGTTTTCTTTTTTCCACAAGACTGCTTGAAAGGATATTTAATAGTCCAAGATATTTTTTTCAACCAATTGATAGGTCAAAATTCACAGTCAATACTATAAGAAAGTTCCAGTCAGCCAAGCCACTATCCAAGGCTAATGATGAGTAATCACATAAGCACTTTGTTTAGCAAAGGATATGTCATTTAAGATAAGAAACTCTCAGCGATTCATGCCTTTTTGTTTCCCTATCAGAACAATAAAGCAATATTTCATCAATAAACAGTTTTAAAAAAATTGATTAAATTATTAATATTGTGAAATTGGACAAAACCAATCCGTTTTTGGTCAACTTCATTTCTGCACTTTACTTCGGTCTAATCCTTTTTACATTGGTGTTGAAGCAGATCAAGAAAATGTGAGATTTATTCTATGGCAATAAAAAAATAACAGGTAAAATGTATTTACTTAAATATATATAGTAACATTAATTGGTAACATTGACTTTTTTCCTTTTTGTTACATTGAAAGAAAAGTTTTATCGTTTGTGTTCTCTAAATTAAAATAGCAAGGCATATGACTGCCATGTCAAAATCATAGGATGGTAATGTACAGTGCTAGTGCTAATTTGTATGCCAAGACTATTTGAATGAATATAAGGTGTTTGTCTGACTTTTGATAATTTTTTCTATGTTTCAAACTTATTCTGTATGGAGATCTATGTGTACATTAGGGACACAAACTGATTTAATTACAACATAGATGAATTGATATTTCGGGATCACGCAGGGCTAACCTGTATTTGGCCATTCTGTCCACATCTGTATCCGTCAATAGTAAACAAGCAAGTCATTCATGTCCATTTATTGTCCTTTTGAAGTTAAAAGAAGACATGACCAATCTGCTCTACAGGTACTGGTTACTTGCGTTGTGAAACATTTTCTTTAACTGCTCAGTAATCATGATCATTTGGTCTTTTGTCTTCTCATCTTCTTGGTCTTCAGTAAGTGCATCCCTCTAATAGAATGTCTAAAAATTAAAAAAGAACAACATGGTCAATACTGAATAAACTGAATGAGGAGAGGGGAAGGTTATTTGCATTGGTTGTACAAAGTAGTGCAATAGCTTAGTCAGAGTGTTTAGTTATGTAACCTCATGTGGAGATCTAATGATGATTTGTGTTGTCAGGAAGCTGGAAAATGTCTGTGTTGACTTGGTTGCATCCTTATCCAAGATGCTTTACCTTGATTGTTCTGGATGGCATATTACACCTCCCATATGTTGTTGAGTTAGGTAACTACCAGCTACAACAAGGAGCCTCAAAAAGACCCTGGCTGTTACTACAACAAAAACATGACATCATTTATAGAACTCGAATGACTGACCTCTTATTTGACAGAAAGAATCTTGAAAAATAAATGATACATATGTAATTAACATGAGATGAGATTAATTTTGGGATTATCTTCTGTTTCATTAGACAATAATGGCAGATGTGAAGAAATTGGTGTTTTCCATAATGAGGTTCATGGAGGATCAGAAAGTAACTGGGGATCTGGATGAAGACTCCCTGGAGAGTCTTGAAGGTCAGTTTATTATGTTGTTATTTTGTCTACTTTCAAAAGTCTGAAATTTATTGTATTTTGCTGTAATTGAAATGTGAATAAATATTTTTAGCCCTTTGTATAGCATTATGTACAATTGTAATGCTTTTTAGCCCCCCCCAATCCATCTAATTCTTAAATAATTAAACACTTATATCACTGTATTTCAGATTTAGAATACTTCCCTTATACATTTAGTAATTATTTTTATTTGTTGTTTAAGCTATGGTTGCCATAGTAACCTCAAATTTGTGTATATTAGGGAAATGTGAATATTTTGTCAATTTTGACTTTTTGCATTGTTTTTCAAGCAGCAACCACAGAGTGCATTCTTGACATCATTGGAAGGAAAAACTATTTACCAAAAGAGAGAATTTTGTAACATATGATGAACTTTTTGTATGGTTGATTACAGTTGGACTGCAGTGTCTGTCAAATGCTTATGGGCTGGATATGGCAGACCCAAGTCAGATTGCTAAGTACCAAGTACAGCGGAACCTCCTGGATATATTCAACTCACAAATTAGTCTAGAGGTAAGTACACTTTATGCAGTGTCTACTAGTAGAGTGTGGTTGTAAATGATAGTAATGATAACCGTTTCCATATTTCTTGTGAATGGTTTAAAACTTGTCCCAGTTATTTCATACTGTCATTTTCTATATGCTCATCCAGATTTTTGAGAATGCAATACTGTATTATCAGATGGGAAATAGTATTTTATTGCATTGTCATTTATTTTTACGATTTTCCTCCCAATTTGGTAGACTTAATGGCAATGAAATGAAGGTTATTCTTTTTCTGAATGACATATTGTTCAACTGTATTTTTAAGAGTTACTACCTCTTGTTGTTTTCTTAATGTTAATCTTATTCAGAGATGCCTCTCAAACATGAAGTTTTTTTTTTTTGAATGGCAGTTGATTCAAGCGAATTTGGAAGAGTTAATGGTCCCTTATTGTTTTCATAATGTTAATCTTGTCCAGAGATCTCGTCTCGCAGTATTCATCTGTTGTTTTTTTTTCAAACTTGATTAGATGGAATCACCTTGACATTAAGTTGTGTTTTCCTTCACAACAGTTTGATCCATTTCACAGATTTCTCTTATAGTTGGTAGCCTTTATAATTATACAAAAAAATGTGTCTTCTCTATTGGAATTTTACAATTTTCTAAAGACTGTATCATATTTTACATACATGTGTTTGTATGTCCACCATTTTTTTTATTGTCTTTATTTTGTCCAGATATCTCCTCCCTCTGTTTTTAATCAATATCGTTGAAAATTGGTAGGTTTTAAAACCTCAAAATGAGATTATATTTCCTGAACAGGATTTTTATTCTATGATATTTCAAAAAGTTACTGCTCTTTGTTCTTGTCAGCATTTTGGTCTTGTCCAGAGTTTTCTTTCAGTACAAATTTGTATTTCCAACCATCTTTTAAAAACTGATATGCTTTAGTTTGTCACTAAAATGTTACAGACCTAGTTTTCTTCTTCACATCTTCATATTTGTGTTCTTTTCTATACAATAAACCAGGAACATTTCTTTAGGATGGGAGAGGGATTTATTTTTCCAATATATCACCTATTGTAAACCAATATACTTTTGAGATTTTCTTCTGAATTTCTTTATATTTTAAGAATCAATAAGGGTTTGTTGCTTGTTACTTGTTAATTAATCACTTTTACAGATGAAAAGCAGTATCCTGATCTCATAAATAATAGGAAAAAAGATTAACACAGTGTGATTGTAGATGAATGCGTTGCTTTGGTATTCATAGTATTAAGCTTAAATTAGACAACAGCATGAAATGAGACCTGATATCATGTATAATATATTTATTTCTTAATTGATCCATTTTTTGTCTTCTGTTTATTTTCAGCCCGATTCTGATTTTTCCACATTATCATTACACGAGCCTACAGAAGAGGAGAAATTACAAGCAGAGGAAAAGAAAGCAAAAGGTTACATGCTTTTTAAAGATCAATGCTTTTGTTTTAATGTTAATAATTAAATATTTGGTTCAATGGATTGACTAAACTTGAAACTCCTTTTTAACCTTGATACAATTGTTTGGTTCATCTTTTTTCCTTTCTTACTCTTTCTTATAGATACAGTATCTATTTGTTTATTTCAGGAAATGAATTTATGAAAGCTGAGAAATATTCGGATGCCATTGAGTATTATACACAAGCTATTAAGCTTGACAACAAAAACCCAGTCTACTATTGTAACAGGTACAACTGTTTTTGCTGTGAAATCAATACTTTGAATTAGAAATGTTCCCCCTTTATAGATATGAATTATTGATAACGGATATCTTTAGAAAGAAAATCTGTTTATAATAGTCATAGGACATAAATCACACTTGATTGTGGATCTGATTTTAAACAATCAATTTGGATTAATATATTCATTCATTTAAATAATAAAATAAAAATGAGTTGTATTGTGTCCTTAGAAAAGGGTTTTTTATAGTTGTGGGTTACTGATATATAACTTAATTTGTTAGTGTTGTGTTTCAGATAAATTTTGAACATGTGAGTTGACAAAGGTTTAAACTAGAAATCAAAGGGTTTATATTCACAATTTTGAGTAACATATTGATGCAATGCTGAGGTGTTAGTTTGGAATGATACCAATTCAAATACTTTTTCATTGCTTGTGTATATGGAATTGTTACTATGAACTTGCGTGACAGAAAGTTAGGAAGATAGGATGTCTTAAAAAGATCTACCAGGTACACATATAGTGTGATACTTAACACTTACCAAGATCTTTTGTTTTTCAGAGCAGCAGCATATAGTAAAATAAACAAACATGACCTCACCATAAAGGATTGTCAACAAGCATTATCTATAGACCCATGCTATAGTAAAGCCTATGGAAGAATGGGGTAAGTTTTAAATTAAAGGGAGACTATCAGCTTACATTCTTTTTATACACGCATGCTATGGGAAAGCCTATGGAAGAAAGGAGTGCCTTATTAAAGGGAGCCTTTCCCCTTAGCTCCCATTATGGACCCATGTTGAGGTGAAGCATGGATTGGAATGGGTATAAATGTCTCATTAAACTAGGAGGATTATCAGTCTACCTCTTTTATAATGGAGTCAAGTTCATTAAAGGGAGACTATCTGGTTATCTCCCTGTATAAGAGCCATGCTTCAATAAGAATGGAATTGAATGAGACAGATTTCATTCTGGGGTACTGATACAGAAAAGTTATTTTACTTGTCTATATTAGCCAGTGCACTTTTTCCACAACAGGCATGCACAAACAGCACACAACGTAGTCACTCTGCTGCCTCGCAATCGGCAACAGAATCTCATGAAAGGCAGATTTTCATCTTATCTCCTTTATAGACAATTGCTAGTGAATTCGAAAAAGTGGTGGGTGTTTCATTGCAAGGAGGTTATCAACAAATGTCTTATGCTCTTTATAGGCTCAGCACAGGGAAGATCAATAGTGAGTGTTAGTTCAGATAGATTAGGGATATACAACTACATGTGTTATTTGCTATCCTAGACTTTGAAGTTTTGTTTCCAATAGCACTTCTTCATTCCTATATATTTTAAATTACCTGCTCAGTTTTGATGAAAAATAGACTTGTGGTAATCATATGTTTCATGGACATGCATGTATCAATTTTCTGATAGGGACAGTGAAGATTTCATTATTTTGGATCTGGTTTGATTTCCCAAATGTCAATAATTAACCTTTTAATACAGCAAATATTGATGGTATGCTAAGAAAGATTTGAAAAATACATCAAGAGCATGGAATTCAAATAATTAAGGAAAAACTTGAATTTAGAAATAGGAATCAACATGAAGAAAATCATGTGCAGTACTATGAATGTTGTCATGTATGTTTTTCAATGATCAATCCATTGCGTGTAACATGTAATATAATTTATTTACAGAATTGCATATACAGCTGAAGATGACCATGAAAGTGCCCTAGAGTGTTACAGAAAGGCCCTTGATCTAGATCCTGGCAACCAGACTCATCAAAATAATCTGGAAATATCTGAACAGAAATTAAAAGAAAGGGCTGCACAGGTATTGCAACTGATCTGTATTGAACAAATATATATCTTGTCATAGAAAATGATAACAGTGTCTCCACTTATCCATGGGACCAACACATAACCTCTGACTCAAAGTCAGAGAATGGGCTTATCACAGGACCCCAGGGAGTTAACACACAATATCTAACTGACTCAAAGTCAGGGTGTGGGCTTATTACAGGACCCCAGGGAGTCAAAACACAATTTCTAACTGACTCATCAGGGAATGGGCTTATTACAGGACCCCAGGGAGTCAAAACACAATTTCTAACTGACTCATCAGGGAATGGGCTTATTACTGGAGAGTTATACAGTATTTATCATTTTTTCTAAATGTCAAAAGATGTTGGTAGAATTATTACTTGGCTTGAGGTTTGTTTTGCTGGATAAATACAGTATCATAATCTATATATGCCATATGCTGACTTTATATTTTAGACTGGTTTTAACCTGGGAGCAGCAGGAATGCCAGGCTTGCCTGGAATGGACCTGGCTGCAATGTTTAATAATCCAGCTATGATGAATATGGTAAGTTATCATAGTATACATTCTCAGCACAGGGAAAAAAGTAGGATATCATAGTATTCATTTTCAGTGCAAGAGAAAATGTTAAGTTATCAAAGTGTTCATTCCTAATGCAAGGGAAAATATGACAATGATATACACGTTATATGTTGGAAGTTATAGTACACATAAACATTCTAGAGGGAACAAGTGTTATCAATATACAGATCATTTATTATTTCCCCTGTCAGTGAAACCAGAGGGGACTGTAGTGTTTAATGTCATCTCTGTCTGTCTGAAGGGTTTCCAGATGGTAACATGATTCGATGACCAATTAAGTTGAAACTTGATACGATATTAGTTTAGTAAACACCTAGTGTGGAATTGTGCTTGAGGTTAAAGATCTACAATAAAGACCACTGTTACTTAAAATATATTTTTGGTTTCTAGATAATAACTTGAGTTAGGGATAGCTAATTAGGTTGAAACTTGATACAGTGGTAATTTAGTAGGAGACCTAGTGTTGGATTGTGTGTATGGTTAAAAGGTCAGCTACAAAGGTCACTGTTTTTAAAAATACATCAGCTTCAAAAATGCTTATTGCACGGGAGAGTATGCATGTAGCTTGCAACACTAACTAAGCTTGTTGTTGATTACACTGAAATATGAACATACGGAAACAGCAAGATCTGGGTGTTATAGAAAAGTATTTATTATATACAGATTTTCTGTATGAAAAGAAATTATTCAACAGATTTGATTCTATAATTAGGCAGGTGTACATATATACAAATATGGCTCCTGTAAGAAGGTATTTGCTATACAAATGTGATATGTAAAGATTTCTATAAAGTGTTATGAGGAGGTATTATGATACAGTTGTATCATTGTATAATATTTTATATTAAGTAAATGTGTTGGCATGATGCTCACTTTAAATACATATGAGAAAAAAGTTATAGTGAATGGAAAATTTATGATTAAGTTCAACACACTGAAATTTTCACCTCATTAACAACATCAAGGTATCAGTCTGTGGTTTATGATATTTTTTGCTTTGATAAACATTTTTTTAAAAGCTGTATTATGATGATATTTATGTTTGATATTTAACAGGCTAGGACATTCATGCAAGACCCAGGACTGCAACAAATGTAAGTTGAAAAGCTATCCTAGAGGTAAAAGTTTCCTCCTAGACCACAATTACTGTGCTATAATAATACATTTTAGATATTCAGCTAAGTGTAAACATTTGTATATGTTGCATATCAAAGTAATATTGACTGATTGCTCAAAATTTAATTGCTGTTTACTGTATAATTGATCATATTCGGGGGTGATCAGTTCGGCTACGTTTGTGGTCAATGCAGATAGCAGAAAATCAAATAAACAGTCAACATTTTCACAGTGATGTTTGTATATATGGACATAAAATTGAATATCCATGAACTGGCCCAAATTGGGACTTCTGTGAAATATAAGGCCATCGAAATTAACAACTATACAGTAAGATATCAAGATGTATTTATCATTAGATGAAGTTTTACATACAGGCTAATCTTTGACAAAGACGTTTTTATGTATTTATATAATTAATTGTGATATAAATGATATAAGATATAATGGTTAATATTTGTTGAGTAAGTGTATTCAAAAGATATCTGAAACTGTTTGATATGATTTGATGACAGGATGACTAACATGATGTCGGGGGCCCAGGCAGGAGGCGGTCAAGGAAACATGGGACTACTACAAGTGTGAGTAATTGTCTCCCAGTAATGGCGGTCTACCATCATCAGATGAGCTGTTCAGATCATTGTTTGTCCATGAATTGTCATGTGTTTGTCTGTAAATAACTTTTCTTTAGTACTCAAAAACTCTGAAACTTAATATATAGGTTCTTCTTAGCACCTTGTTGTGCTTTTAAAAGAGTAAATCTGATTGGAAACAAAATAGACGACAGGTGGCCATCTTGGATTTTTACAGTTGTAGAATGTTTACGCTATTTGGTGAGAAGTAGTAAAACGATATTTCTCAAAGTTAATGTGTAGGTTGTAAAATGTATATTCATAAATAATTAAATGTTAAATATTATATGTATTAAATAAAAAGTAAACTTTGGCAAAGAGATAAAAATGTTTTTAGCAGAAAGATATTAATTGCTTTCTTATATCTCATAGCTAAGCAAGTTGACTTAATATCAAATATAATCAAAAATTACTTTAGAAATCGGAACACATTTTGTATAATTTTTTTTGTTATAGGGGTCAGCAGCTAGCTGCTCAAGTACAGGAAAGCCATCCTGACTTAGTGGCACAACTCAGGGAACAGATGGGACGACCTAGTACAGACAACCCAGCTGACCAGAGTCAAGGTAAATATTTACTTTCAGCAAAACAGTGGAGTCCTGTCATGTCATGGTCTTGTACATTCAATATCAGACCAAAGAACAATTAGAAAAAATTCTTTTTACACCTCCACGATTCTATTGAGGCATATATTGTTACCCGTGTTCACTAGATTGATATGTCTTGAATTTCATTTGTTGATTCCTGTTGGTCACTAGTTGTGCCCTTTAAGATCAGAGAAAACAAAATGGCTGATGAATGTCCATAATTAATTTAGACAATGAAAGCATGTTATTTCAATTTCTCAATGTACTGAATGGTTCTTTATCAACTTTCACAAGTAGGTTCTCCTTGGTCCCTAGTTGATTACTATCACTTATACTTTGGAGGATTTTTTGATTTTACATAATTAAGAGAAAAAAGATAGAAAAGAAGAGAAAGATGAACACATAATGATCAAACACTGAATGCCAAAATCCATCAGGGATCTCTTGTTAAATGGTGAGTGTAAATCTGGAAGGATTTATTTTAAAAACAATCCTTTGTGATAGATTAAAAATGAGCAGGGTGACAGATTCTTTCTTATTTTGTTGTTAACAGGAGGTAACCCACCACCACCTGAACCTCCTGCCCAGTAATATGAACAGACAGTTCTTGGATCCAACTCGTCTTTTCCAGGCATAATCACCTACAAATGACATTAAATGGGGTCACATTTTAAAAAGAATGAACCACAATACAGAAGTAATGTTGGCACAATGTAAACAGAAGTCACATGGTGTGGGTAAATGACTAAGGACTAAAAAGATTCCAAATACACGGGTAAATGGCCATAGGACTAAAAAAATTCAACTTATGCCACGGTACTGAAAAGATTCCAGCATAAGCCACAAGACTAAAAAGATTACTACAAGCCACAAAACTACAAAAGGAGTTTGATGACTACGTAGTCATCCTGGTCATGTGACTCAAAATGCCAGTCATGTGACTCCATTGCTGTCATGACCAGAGTGTGTGTGTTTGATGTGTTTGAGTACCTGTTGAGAATAACTGAACCTCTGATAAAAACCATTTGATGATTCCACTGCATGTCCACCATTCACTTCCAACTTCAACATGTTCCAGATGAAAGTCTGCAAAATACTGTGTGTACATAATACCGTTCACACCTTATATACTCAATGATGTATACACTGAGCATTGGTGAGTGAATATGGATGGTTTCAAATGGAAAATTCTGACGTATTTTTTTCAAATGATGAACATTTATTATATAAAGATTCCAGTTAAAAATTTGGTGGGCCAATCCAAAGTCTGGTGAAAAGTTTGCCATTTGTTGCCATTTGGTGTAACATTACAGATTGTGTTTAAGTCCTACGGCAGTTTTCTGTAATTGTATTCATTCTAAAGACTAGTCTAATGCTTAAGTTTATGATATGTTTTGGTAAACTGTCTATCATGTATTGCGTTTAAATTAAGTTTACAGTTTATTTTGTGGTTTGTGAATTGTTGTAGCGAAACGATTTTACAGCCACCATACTTTTACTTGTTTTTGGAGTGGTCCACTGATAGCTTCTCATGATCTGGTATCAGCCATTTATCTTACTGCCCAAAAGCATTAGATATCTTGCATAGATGTTCATAATTAAGATGTGGATTTGTATATTTCTGTGTTAAGAGGTCTGTCAGAGATGAAATAATTTAATCTTGTTTCAAACCAACATTTCTATTGCTTAAAATCATCAAACATAAAAATGATGTTACATTACTTTTGATTGGCTAGCTGTGGTGTTGATTTCTTAAATGTGAGAGTATATTTAAAGAAAGTAAAAAGGCTTTTATAGTTTTAGATAGATTAAATCATTGGTAATGTTTTAAATGATTTTAAGAACGTATGGATAGTAATGAATAGTAAACACAGTACACTCTTTTCACCACCCACTTATTTATAATACAATTCTGATTCTTATGTAATTGGTCCATAACATAAAAAGGAATTCAAATCAGATGTATGTACAAGGTATATGTACTGAGAGCATCTTCATTTTATCAAACAGTATGTCCCTACTTCTTGCCTTCTGAAGCACAGCAAGGTAATTTAAAGGTGCTAGAATGTTTTTGTGTACCCTAATCTAAGGTTTATTATTGTAGGCAGTAGGAATCCACTAAAGACCAGAACTATACACATAATGGTTTTCAAGGATAACAAATAAAAATGGTAGGGAATCAGCTGTTCAGTATTAGGGTTAATCACAACCATTGTACAGATAACGACATACCTATTACCGGTAACATGATGTTTTTTCAGAACTAGTTTGTCTTGGTGCATAATAATATATAGTTATAAAGGTACACAATTTTCAAGGCTTACATGTATCTCAATTGCTATTGGTTAAATTGTAAAGGACAGACACTACAAGATTGTAATCCTTCATGCAATACTTCTCGTAACGATACACAATGGATTTAAGTTGTTATTTCTGCTAATACACCAATAATACTGACATCTTTTTACAGATATCCTATGCAGAATAAATTTTGAAAGAACCATTTCTTGGTTACATAGGCACGTCTGTCAGCAGCATTCATGATGCTTAGACACTCTTTTACATGCATTTATATTGTACAAGTGAGGGCTGATAGGGGCTTTGCTGCTGTCCAATTCCTATTGTATATATCTACGCATATACCATAAAACATAATACGATGTGGAATATGTGTGTCAAGAAACTTAAATGTTAAACCAGAGGATAAAGTGCTACTTAAGAAACTGTGTTACCATAGATACAGTAATGCCATGAGAATTTGGGTTACCATGGAAACAGTGACATTGTTTAAAAAATGTGAATATAGTGTTACTGTGATAATTCTGTTACCATATATACAGTTAACATACTGTGATACCATGGAAACATAACAGAACTGTGTTACCAAGGGCATAGTGTTCTTTAATTTCCATAAATGTATTGTTATGTCATGACTATCGTGTTAATCTATATGGTTTTATTAACATATTACATTTTCATCGCTAACTACAAATTACTGCTACAATATAACAGGATCAATCATGTGTTAAGTATGATCTGGTAATGATATATTACTGCATGGGCATTGTATGTGTTATTGTGGTGACAGATAATCCATATCCATTTACCTGGCTTTCAAGGTCACACTTCATGAAATTTGTGATTGTTTGTTAAAATCTGCATACAGATATTTAGAAAAATTTGCTGTTTATAAGAATTTATTTGATTTTGCACAGAAATCAATAAATGTATTAAGTAGAATGTTTTTCAAATACATGTGGATAAATTTGTGTTCATTTCTGCTGGCATACCCTGAAAGTTTTTACTTCAGAAAAATATCTAAGGACATAAAAATTAGAAACACTGCACACACAAAAAGGTTTGGTATTGGGTTTTCGATATTTCATGTATTAAGAAGCTTTTTTTCTTCAAAAAATTGATTTTTTTATGTAGCTTAGAGAGATTGAAGTGTTGAGTCTTTCCTGTCTTGAACAAGAGTGTGTCAAGCTTGAAAGTCATTTTTTGTTTTGAATAGATGGATTGATAATTATTATCTACAAATGAGCTATTTCATAATAGACATTATAAAGTAAAATATATATTCCAAATTAAAATATCTATAAAACATTTCAAATAGGTTCAATTTCATTTTGAATTAAAAAGTCTCATACAGAAGTTGCCTTTTCAAATTCTATTTTATCATTGCTGTCTTATATATGCAGGGATTTCATGTCATAAATTCTACTACAGTGTATGTATATAACAAATTGATAATAAATGCCTTTTTAAAAAAATATTTTTTCCTGAAAATGTTTATTTATAATTCATGTATAATCATGAATATTGTGAAATGTATCAGCTTGTCTTTCATTCATTTTTCAAGAAACAAGATGGGTTTTAATTATTGGTGGTTGTGTTCACACATATATATTACTTAGTGTTCCCATTATGTAAATCAGAAAAATTACAGAGAATGGGTTTATCTGGTACAGATTTAGTATTATTTAATTTGGTGTTACATGTAATTTAGGTCAAGAAAATGTGTTCTGGAATCTTTGTTCAGAAATTCACAGGTAGACAAAACTTTAAGAACATTCATTAACATATGTAAAAATAAGCTCATAAATGTACATAACAGCATTTGTATCAGGAAGACTTTAGATAAGAGAAAACATGAAATGAAGGATTGGACAACTTTTTTTTATTTTTCCCACAGGAAATCAGATTCCAGTTTCAGGTGAGGGCTTGTATAGACTTTGCCTGCCGTCATTTATGAAATGTGAAAAGAAATGATATACATAATTTTTCATTCAATGTATATTTTATTTCAAAGCTTCATGGTGATTTTTCTATTACTATATGACGTGTTTTTGAATTTCAACCTATCGATGGATACAATTAGTGTAGAGTTTAATTAACTTTCATTTGAATTTGTTTTGTGCTTCAAACTCTTGGCAAGTATGAAATCTGTAATTTCTTATTTTTTCATCATAATTTAAGAAAGTTTTAATGATCAAAGCTAGTATAAAAAACACACAAGTGATTAGCATTTTTCAATACAAAATTAGATACAGTATAGCCATATAACAAATTTATGCCAATTCTAAGTGCTTTCAGATGTTTCTGTTTTATTATTTAAGGATGTAAGGATTTGTCATGCTAGTCTGTTTCATTGTGAAGAGATTATATGGATTATTAACATATTTGTTGATTTCCGGAGTGAATGCAGGGTCTATCCATATGTCCTTAATATAGGGCCTGACTTTCTATAGATATTTACATATGCGTCAAAAGACCATATTTTACAGTTTGTGTCCTTATATATTCATATACATTTAATGCTACACAGGTAATAGTGACTTAGTAGTGCAGTTACTTTGTCATTACAGAGTGTGTCCATATATGGACATGTACATGTTATACCTCTCTGATCTGCTATTTATATAAAAGTACCAACCCAAGAGTGTAGTATGACACCAGTCATCGCAACCTGTATATATGGCAAGAGTTACAAATATATGTTGGCGTTTAGAAAAAAAAGACCTTGATTTTATGCCTAGGGTGGAATTTCGTTTCAGATATTTTGAAAATTTTACTTTTGCATAATTGCTGATTTTGAAACCATTTTGCCATGGGCATCTTATCTGAGAGAGGCAGACCCTTGTCCACTGAAACTAGAGCAGGCTTTCTTCATTAACAAATGTGCTAGTTTATATATGCATCAAAATTTCAAATATTTCTGATATTCTGCATCAGTAATGAGAAAAATGATTCCAAAAACTTGATTTTGATAAAAATTTTATGCTACAAATATGAAATTACTGTATTGCAGTATAACTAGGAAAGCTTATTAATTAGTAATGTGTATGACAATTGGTTGTACATTTGTGGATAAAATAAAATGACATTAATCTTTGTAATTTCATTACTTTGTGTAATTATTTATCATTTATCAATGACAAAGCTACAATGCAGCACCTTAATGGGATAAGAGAAAGTGTGTATTCTGTACGTATACTTCATATTAAACTGTAAACGTCTCACATTCCCTATTAGGCAGACAAGTTTGTTGTGGATGTCTGATGTCGTGGAGATTTACCAGGAGCATCAATGATTTACACTCCTTTCTTTTTTGAAGGGAATGATGTTTATAAACAGTACATTGCTCAATATGATTTTCCAAAGAACATATATTTATTCTACCTTTATTTTTTCTATGGTGGTATAGTGGAATTAAATCTGGCATAAATGAGGATATTGGAGAAATAGATCAATGGCTGTTTATAGTAATCTGATTACAGTACAGCAGAATAATGAAGGAATATGACTTTAAAAAAGTGGTTCAGTCATTTTAGATAAGACTGCATAAGTAATAATACCAATTGTATTTCTTCCAAGATCTTGTTTCAAAAGTCGTTCTACAATAAGAAAAGAAAAAAAAACTTTTTTCCGTACTAAACACAATACAGAGTAACTAGTAGCATTAACTTTCCAAAGCGATATTTAACAAAATTTGCATACAATTTCACATTTGAGCAGTTAAGATATATATGATTGCATTGTGATATTGTCATGTATTGCGGCCTCTTTTCCATGAAAGACCAATCATGACTCTCTCCACCAGGCGATCTCTGCTTCTCATCGATTTTCCAACGAGGTTTCATATCTAGTTTGTGATCTGTTTTGGCCAATATTACACACATTTTCCAGAAAGCCTTAGATCCTTAAGACTAGGTTGATGGGAAGATGTTGTAATGGCATACCATTGCTGTTAAAGAGCTTCTTTTTTTGGTAAAGGCTGGCATAAACTTGCTGTGGCAAAGCCTCATCTTAATTTTGACGAAAGTGAAATTTCCGATGCTAAGGAGTCAACCAAAATCATCCCTGGATTTCCTAAGTTTGGAAATGATGTCCCTTTCGTATGGCTGATACTGCTTTTTTTAAGAGTTATTGAAGTACACAAATTCTTGAAACCTTTTGTGTAAGTTGACACATCACTGTTTATTTAAAAGAAGTGGCTACAGAAATATGCATTCTGGTCACAGATTTAAAATTAATCTCAAAACATCTGAAATTCCCTATAAGGCTAACACTACCTGGGTTTGTGGTGGCTGCCTGATGTTCCTAAGATCTATCAGACGCATCAATGATTAACGATGTTAAATTGTCTTTTTGAAGTAGTGAAGTTTATGAACAATGCATTGAGGCACTGTTCACACTGATGTTCCAAAGAACAAATTGTCATTTGTAAAAGTAGCACTAGTACTTAAGCTTGATAACAAGAGTCCTGTACCTAATTGTGTACATTGTCTTGAATGGAAATTCAGCAGAAGCTTACTAGGAATCGAGAGAAGTGTAACTGAGTATCAGTCATCACTTGATGCCGAGGTCACCTACCTTTGCAGTTTATAAATTACCATTAATTTCAGACATTGTGTATGGAATTATATATCTTGAACTTAATAAGGACATCTGTCTTCAATAGTTAAACAAAAAACCTGATAAGTTGTGAACCTTGTATTGAAGAACTCAAGCAGGGATGTCCTTTTCCAGCTCAACAATTCCTTGACTGTTTAAGGCTGTGTACCCGAAGACTGGTGCCATTTGGTAAGTTTATGTCGAAGAAGCAGCACTCTGAAGTAAACAAGGCAAAATGGTCAAAATCGCTGGAAGAACAGTGATTCAATATTTGCATTAGAAAGATATGGTAGCAACACTAGGGGGTGATGCCCTTTCATATGCTACAGTGAAAAGGTTGGTGGCGGAATTTAAGCCTGGAAGGCATAGCCTTTGTGATGACGCCCGTCTTGGAAGGCCTGTCACTGTTGCAACCCTAGAACTTGTCAATAAAGTCCATGGTATTGATCTTGTTGACAGACGAGTTACAGCGAGATCTATAGCCAGTACATTTGAGATTTTACAGGAAAGAGTACCTTCCAATCTTAAGGAAGACCTTGCAATGAGAAAGCTCAGTCTGTCGGGTACCAAGATTTCTGACAGTTGATCAGAAGCACACTAAGCGGATTTTGTCGCGTGCTAATCTGAACCTTTTTGAGGCAGGTCTTGCTTACTTTCTACAGAGGTCTGTAACTATGGATGAAACATGGGTCCATCATTTCACCCCAAAGGCCAAACAACAGTCTAAACTATCTTAGCACCTTGGTTCACCCCCGCCAAAGATTGCAAAGGTTGTTCCATCAGCAGGAAAGGTTATGATCTCGGTTTTCTGGGATTCTGATGGTATATTACCTGCAAAAAGGGACAAACAATCGGTGACACAAATTAGGCACCACTTCTTAGGCAGTTGAGAGAAAATATTAAATTCAAGCACAGCGGGAAATTAAGTAAATGTGTGTTGTTCCACCAGTACAACGCCCCTGTTCACAAGTATGTCATTGCCATGCATACGGCTGTAATTAACGATTGTAGTTTGAATTGATTGAGCATCTGCCTTATTCTTATGATCTCGTTCCACCAGACTTTCATCTATTTCCAATTTTCGGTCAGACGATAACGTCATACATACAGTGGAGGACTTTCTGAACGGTCAAGAAAAGGACGTCTTTAAAAGAAGAATTGAGGCCCTTAAACATCGCTGAAAAAAGCGTATAGCTACTAAAGGGAATAATGTCATCAGTATAGATAGAAATTTCTATATTGCCAATTCATTGTGAGAAAGACTTACAGTTCTTTTCCATAAGTCTTCTGTATCCGCAAAGGAAACATGACTGGCGTTTTTGAAACTGACAAAACATATTTCCCTAAGATGTAGGTTTGCTATAAACTATTGAAGATGTTTGTAACTTATGTAGATTTTTAAGACCAGTGTTCAATAACATTGAATCTTGATGCTATGAATTCCAATTAAAGTCGGGTGCGTTTTTCATTTTCATCGTTTTTACTTTTTGATGTAAAACCATATTGCCCTGAATTCAGTGTTTGTTAATGCATCGATAACGTTGATCTGGTTATAATGTGCTAATATCGTGATTGTTGCTGTTTCATTAGCTGGATCATGCAGTATTCACATTGAAAAACTACCGTGCACATAAATTCCATAATTTAGCCATATCATTACAGTGACGTTGCCGTAAGTCTTTCACGTTTTGTTATTTTACTATATAACCTTTCTATTTCTAACCCTATTCAATGACTTCGTTCATGGATCATTTTTAATGAAAATTTGTAAGTTTCTTGAGAATTGTTTTCCGTTTCATCTCATACTATTTCCATTGTCTTTCGTTGTGTGTTACCAGGAAAATAATGATCCATTTGCAACATGCGATTTTCAGGATGCCGTTTTGACTTCAAATAATTAAAGAGCGATAACTCCTACAGTGACGAATTGTATCCAGTTCCAAGTTTCATACTAAATGTTGATATTTTCCATGAAGAGAGTACAAACTGTATTTGTGTACATAATACAATTATTATCTTAATAACGGTCATTGTAATTTTCCGGGTTCACAATCCAAATAATTGCCGATTTCCGCTATTACTCAGTGGTTCGGTTGACGCACCTACCATTACTTGTTTGAGTACATTGTGAAGCAGGTGCTTGACAACAAACGAAAACGAACCTTCATCATCGGTTTATGTTCGTGTCTGTAACTTATAAATATGGCAGGAGAAAGAATTATGAAGGGGCATATCTTGGACTTTGCCATCCAGATGAAGAAGCTTGTTAACAACAAAGAACACAGGTATGTTATGATCATATTTATGCTACATAACACCTGTCCTAACAGAACGAGTTTGACTATCGTACAGTACGGGTACTGAACTGTACCATTTGTATTTAATCGTCGTTCCCTGTTTCTTTATTATTTAGGACCTACACATACCTACAACTATTGATAGTTCATATTTTTTGAGTAGATAACTGGTGGATTTATGAATGTTGTGACATCAGTTTGTTGTACAATTAAAACAATAATACAATGGATGCATTGTTTTGTAAGTGAAGGCAAACTATCCCACGTACCTTTACTATGTTACGGTATGATAGCGCATTGACTATTGTTACTTCACGAGCATATAAACTTTAGTGCGTTTGAAATTAAATCTATTACTTGAACGCAACAGATGAAAAAAGAAAATAAGAGAGGTTCTGATTACGAATCCATATTGTAAGTCCTTTTCATAAAATACTAAAAAGAGAAATAGATTACGGTTACAATTGTATCAAGTATGACCTATATATCGGATATTTTCACAGGAATGGGACATTACTTATGTGAAATATAGTTGTTGTACTACTAAATAGCGTGAGTTATTGATATATATCAAATACTTATGATTTCTATATCCTATGTCACATTGTTAATGTAATGTTGAGTTTATTAAATGATTCCAATGTTCGGTATGTTTGCTTGTATATGTGAATGACTTTTTACCTCTTTTTTGACATTGACGTTTCCCTTAGTCAAGATCACATTTAAACATTGCTTTTTATCATGGGAAAAGACAGAGCATTGTTGAGCCTTATGTTTCTACTATCAAAGTAATTAAGATGTTTTATTTATGATGTCTCCTTAGTTATACACAATAAGCCAAGTGGTCTAAATACACTACTTTTCACTGAAAATCAGGGAGTGGAATTTTATATAAAATGATGAAATGTCATCAGTTAATAATTCTAATGAAGAGCAATATACACATTGGTGGGCTTATTACCAGGCATACAGTTAGAGTGGTTTCACATGGTATTGTGATGTTATCATAATTTATAAGGTAACTAGTGCTGTAAGTTATATTCACATGCTTGCATTTCTCATCTGTTGGAAGAGTTTTTTGTCCTTGTTAATACTTTAAACTTTAGGTAAAAATTTTACTAATTTAATTAATATTCCATCAATGTGATGTGTAATGTTGCAGGGATTTCTGTAAGGAAATCCAAGTGTTTGTTTTTTGAATAGATGTAAAGTTATGATAATCTGTAATGGGAGAATTTTTCCTTTATGAAATCTTCAAAATATTGATGATAAGAAATCAAATATTTAATCTGAATAGCTTTCTAATTTTTTATTGCCTAACATGATATTTCAATTCATTTCAGTGATATCAAATTTTTAATTGGACCAAACAGAAAGCCAATATATGCTCACCGAGCCATTTTGTCAGCCCGATGTGCAATCTTTAAGGCAATGTTTGCAGACCAAGCACAGCGAGGCTCCAGTGGAGATAAAGATGTGCCATGTGTCTTGTCTGATATGTCACCTGATGTATTCCTAGCCATGTTGGAGTTTCTTTACACAAACTGTGTAACACTTACACCTAAAATCGTAAGTTTGGTTAAGTATACTTACTGATGGTTTGGTCAGTGGCTGGAAATCATTAGCAAAGTACAGGAATAGCAGGGACTCTTAATGACCCCTTATCCCTTATTTGCAAACAGGTTTTTTTTGTTAAAAGTAACTTGTGATTCTGATTTACTGGTATCTCTTATAAAAAGTAAATGAGATTTTTACTAAGATAAAAGGATTCCTTTAAACAGAAAAATGTCATTCTTACTGCCATAATAGGAGGATTCTTTCCAAATATAAAGAGCATCTTCATCATCAGCATAATCATCATATATATATATATATATGAATTAAAGTCAGCAGCCAAACATAGACAGGATAAATTTTACATGTGAATTGTTTCCACAGCATAACTTAAGTTTCCACGGCGGGTCATTTACTGATGTTGGTAAGCTCACCCCTCCTGGTTTGTGGAAAGCTCCAAGTCTAGAGAATGGTTTAGCCGGCCCTGTAGTCAAGGTTTCAGTAATTCTTGCTTAACTGTGGGAAGTTTGTTGTGAGGGTACATAAACTTGTTAATCATGGACAAGGTTTGGTGAAACAAAGTTTTTAGGTCTTAAGGAATGAATATCTGTCTGGAGCTTAAACTTTGTATAGACTCAGAATTGTAACAAATTGTGTGTGGTCAAGCATTTGAAATTGGTTTATAATGAAATATTTTCCTGGTGGCTTAAATAATGCAGATAAGAATACATAGGTGATTAAATCTTTAATGATAGCATTTATTGTTAAATTGTGTAAACATTGTGTGCCAATGGTGGATTCTTTACTGAATTTGTTGGTGGAGAATATTGAGTTTAGATTAACTGAAGGAAAATACTAAAACAATGTTACTAGTTTGAAAACGTTTTATAGAACTGACTGGTATGACTCTGCTTTGCTTTTGGGAGGGACTTGGTTTGGTACGGAAAAGTGGTATGGAATTTCAAAATATATATCTGTATAATGTATTACAAGAAATTGTTATTTTTTGAAGGTGATTTATTTTAAAATTTAAGTTGGTTTTTACAATTTCTCTTTTATGAAATTATTTGTAATTAAAGAAAACATCTCTTTAACAAACAACAAGTCTTGCTTGATACAAATAAAGATTTACTATAGTTATATATGTATATATGTATGGAACAGTAGAATTGCAGTGAATATAGGAGTCTGAACAAACTAGTTTGTACATAAAATATACTGTTCAAAGCAAAAAATTCCCAATACTGTTACAATATATCACATTTTGACCACCGTTTTTTTTTTTTACTTTCATACCCAGTACATAATTGTGCTTTGTGTATAATGCTTACATCTAGCCTTGTACTGCTGTACTCATTGCATGAATATATCCTGTTTAACATCTCCTGAATAACTGAGGAGTTTATATCTTGTTTTCTAGGGAATTGATATACTGGCAACATCCATAGAGTATGGATTGGATGAGCTGAGAAGGGTAAGTACAAGTTATGTTATTAGGAACACCCTTGTTAATGTGTATGAGTTAAGCTATTGTTTTTTGAAAAACTGTTTTGGCAAACATTGAAGTTTTTCTCAAGGCTCTATCTTTCCAATAGAGAATAACAGATTCATTTTGCATGTGGAAATTCTTTTGATAATTACATGTTATCAATATTTTTGCAAGTATTGAAAATTTTCCTCTAGGTTCTATCATTCCAACAGATTTGTTTTGCTCTCAGTAATTCTTTTGATAAGTGTGACATAATATTTCTCAAAAGATTTTCTGAATCAGTATCAAGTAAAATATGTACATCCTTTTAGAGTTTGTACAAAGATTGTTCTAAAGATTAATCAGCCATTGACTGCGATTAAAACTAAAGAAATCATTTTAGTAAAGAAATCTATGAACATAGATTAATGAATGTTCCAGCAATGGTTAAATGAGAACAGAAGTGTTCTGAGAATTGCTTATGCATTCAGAAAAAGAAGGATGTGATGGGAAAATTACACCTACTATAACAATGGTTCAATAATGACTCTTTATATGCAGTTATGTATATAAAGCATGATGAAGTTGAATGTCAACTTGTTTAGGATTAAAAAGCATTGAAGTCACCGAAACCTCTGCTGAATTCGTTGAAATCATTTTTGTTTCTATTCTCAGTTGGCATCTGAGTACCTTGTCGAGAATTTGAGTGTACAGAACGCAACAGAGTGTTTACAGGCAGCTGTCACATATGGCCAGGATGTTTTACGCAACGACACAATTGTCTTTATAGATGAACACACAGAGGTAAGGGTCAGGGGTCATATGACAGAGATTAGGGGTCACATACAGCCAAGATGACTAAAAGAACACAGAATTGTCTTCTTAGATGAAATCAGAGAGATCAGGGTCAAGTGTTCATAAGACAGAGGTCAGGGGTCAAATACTTGCATGATCAAACAATTGTTTTCATATGGATTTGATACAGAACTTCAAAAAGCAATAAGTCACATGATAGTAATTAAGAGGTGACCTTACAAAGCTAATGTAAGAATTAAAAGTCAGAGATGGTGCAAACACAGAACTATGTGTAACAGATGATTCATAGGTTGCAGTTCAGGTTCAAGGATCACAATACATGTATACTGCTCATAAATTTACAAAAAAAGGATCTTTATATTTTACGCTGTTATTTTTCCTATGCAAGGAAAGATCTACCAATTTTATCCTGCAGTAAGCCTATACATGACAATAATCCCATAAGATAATAGATGATGTGTTGGACCTCAGGGCTTAATTTGCATGTAATAAGTCCATCCCGCAGCTTTGAGTCAGAAGTAATGTGTTAGCCCTTGGACTTATTGTCTAGTAATAAGTCCACCCCATGACTTTGAGTCAGAAGTAATGTATTGACTACTGGTTTTATTGCCATGCAATAAGTCCACCCCATGACTTTGAGTCAGAAGTAATGTGTTGGCCCTTGGGTTTATTGCCATGCAATAAAGCCACCACATAACTTTGAGACAGAGATAACATGTTAGTGTCATTGACTTATTGCCCTATGCTAAGCACATCCCCCAACATTGAGTAAAGGAAAATGTGTTGGCCCATGGGCTTATTGCAGTGTAATGAGCCTACCACATGACTTTGAGATAGAGATAATGTGTTAGTACCATGGGCTTTTTGCCCTGTAATAAGCCCCTCCATATCTCCATACTTTGAGGCCGGGATTATGTGTTGGCTCTCTGGACTAATTGTAATAAAAACTTGTTAAAAACCATAAAGATAATAATTTTATACATCACTGATAGTTCTACGGGTTCACATCTTTCTGTTGTAGAATGTGTTCAAGTCCAAAGGTTTCCAGGAGCTGTCTGAGGATGCTTTAGTGGAACTATTGGGAAGTGATGGTTTACAGTTGGATGAGCTAGATATCCTCAACTACGTTAAGGAATGGGCCACCGTTAATGCTGTAAGTCATGTATATAACGGTCTAAAGGTATTCTTAGTGGTGGAGATACTGTAGTTTTGTAGTATGTTGATTGACATTGTTAATTGGTCGGTATACAGTGTAATTTACTACTCATTGTTTTCTGCTCAAATTCTACTCAAAGTTGAAACAAACAATCATTTAAACAATCTGAAAAACACATCAAATTAGACCCCAGACTAAAAAAATACAGTAAAACATGATTTTAATGAATACCGACTTAGCAGATTATTAAATAGTACATGTTTTGTGATACATGTGAATACACCTGGTAGACCTTGATTGGTATGACATGCTTATAGACAGATACTTAGTAAAGATTTTTGTGCTACACTATGCCTATGATTAGCATGAATTTTTATGGTTTTATTAGTTTGAACAAATAAATTGGTTATAATATTATTGTGAATTACAACTCAGCAGCATTTTGTGTGGTCATGTGGGACTAGCTTTAACAGTGTTATACTGTACATCTATAAATTTTCACAGCAATATTTTTACTTTATATTAAATGTTGATTATTACTTCTGTCATTTCTCCTAATCCTTATTTTTTGGTTGCTCCTCAGGTAAAACATTCTGCGATTCATTTAATCTATTATAATTTCATTCAAATGAATTGACATTGTGTGTTTTATCTTACTACACAGGTTGTATTAAACAAATCTGTGAGTGAAGTGGCACGTAGAGTAATTCCCCGGATCAGACTAGCATTGCTGGCTTCATCAGAGATTGAGGAACTGGAGAAGGATAACAAGAAAGATCACCTCATACCTGTAAGTAGAACAACAGATCACCTCATACCTGTAAGTAGAATAAAAGATCACCCCATAGCTGTAAGTAGAACAACAGATCACCTCATACCTGTAAGTAGAACAAAAGATCACCTCATACCTGTAAGTAGAACAACAGATCACCTCATACCTGTAAGTAGAACAAAAGATCACCTCATACCTGTAAGTAGAACAACAGATCACCTCATACCTGTAAGTAGAACAAAAGATCACCTCATACCTGTAAGTAGAACAAAAGATCACCTCATACCTGTAAGTAGAACAAAAGATCACCTCATACCTGTAAGTAGAACAAAAGATCACCTCATACCTGTAAGTAGAACAAAAGATCACCTCATACCTGTAAGTAGAACAAAAGATCACCTCATACCTGTAAGTAGAACAAAAGATCACCTCATACCTGTAAGTAGAACAACAGATCACCTCATACCTGTAAGTAGAACAAAAGATCACCTCATTACTGTAGGTAAATAGGACAAAAGAAAATTTCGTGGTATACTGTTTAATAGCATATTTTGTCATAGAATATACCTTTATTTTCATTGGTGTTTTACACTCACCTCTTCTTATACAACTGGGTAAATCCAGTAATGGGAACAGATGAAATATGGAATGGCTAACAAGTTTATAGTGACATCATAATACAGCAGGATCAGTTGCAATGATAATCTCATCATTATATTGACAAGTCTCATTATTATATTGAAAAGTCTCATTATTATATTGAAAGTCTCATTATTATATTCAAGTCTCATTATTATATTGACAAGTCTATTTATTATATTGAAAGTCTCATTATTATATTGACAAGTCTCATTATTATATTGAAAAGTCTCATTATTATATTGACAAGTCTCATTATTATATTGGCAAATCTCATTATTATATTGGCAAGTCTCATTATTATATTGACAAGTCTCATTATTATATTGGCAAGTCTCATTATTATATTGAAAAGTCTCATTATTATATTGACAAGTCTCATTATTATATTAGTCTATATATATTCAAGTCTCATTATTATATTGACAAGTCTATTTATTATATTGAAAGTCTCATTATTATATTGTCTCATTATTACAAGTCTCATTATTATATTGACAAGTCTATTTATTATATTGAAAGTCTCATTATTATATTGTCTCATTATTATACAAGTCTCATTATTATATTCTCATTATTATATTGAAAGTCTCATTATTATAGTCTCATTATTATATTGACAAGTCTCATTATTATATTGAAAGTCTCATAAGTCTCATTATTATATTGACAAGTCTCATTATTATATTGACAAGTCTCATTATTATATTGACAAGTCTCAAGTCTCATTATTATATTGACAAGTCTCATTATTATATTGGCAAGTCTCATTATTGTATTGACAAGTCTCATTATTATATTGACAAGTCTCATTATTATATTGACAAGTCTCATTATTATATTGGCAAGTCTCATTATTATATTGACAAGTCTCATTATTATATTGACAAGTCTCATTATTATATTGGCAACCTGGTACTGCTGTAAAATGATGGCAATAGGCAAATATCCAAACATGATTTGTTCTTTGGGAAAGAATGCGTACATAGGTACAGGTGTATTTACTATGAAATAATCCATTTTATGTATATTACATATACACGTTATAAATGAAATCTATAATGTCTTTAATGTTGAGGCTTTAATTTCATTTTTAGATCCCACATGTATTCTCAATTTTACCGTAATATATGAGTGTACTGAATGATTTTAACATTTTGAATTTAAAGGAAAAGAGAAGAAAGAAACAACACAAATATTTCATGTACATATTGAGATGAATTATTCTTTACTTCATGTGTTTATCATTGTCAGGTTGAATGCTTTAATAATTCCTGGAAATTTCATGCAATGAAGAAAGCTGAAGCTGATAACCCGCTTCAGAAGAAAAGGGCAGGAACTATGAACAGAGAACACCATTCATACCTGGCACACTGAGATGTTGAGGAATAAGATGACAGTGCTTCATAGAATTATTTACATATAACAATGTGATATATTATTGACTGGTTCTGATTTTAAATGACTGGCTAGCTTCAAATCACTCAGAGAAATGTTGTTTTTTTCCCAAATGTATGGTTTTAAAGTAGGATAGTTTGTACGATTGAGCCCATTTTTAAAAAGAAACATAACTCATCTTACAATTCTTTGAAGTTTTTGTTCAAGTTGGCCAGAACATTTAAGAAAGCAGCTGAAGGCAATTTGAGAACATGAAAATCTGAACAAGGTATGATCCTCTGAGCTTTTGACTGGGTGTATCAGATGGTGCTCTGTGTAATGTTGTAGAGCCAATAATGGTAAGTCTTCCAAATTTGGAGTGAGTCTTGCCAAAAGAAGCTTGATGGGATCTAGCATCTCATATCACTTAAGTTGATATAGAGAAACAAATAATATGACCTTGTCCCAAATATTTCTCATCTAGAGCTCACATATATACACATGTATTTTGATATTGTTATAATTTTTCTAAAATTGAAAGTTATTTTGATTTTCCCCAAAATGAATCATTTTGGAGGTTTATTTCCCAAGCCATAAGATATAGCAACAATCTGAATGAAGTTGAGCATCTATTGACGTATTAGTATTATTGAAGGGACATAACTCTTGTTTGTCTTGGCCTCCTCTAGTGTAAGTTGTGAAGATATGCTAGCTGAACAGGCAATTGTGATTGATGGTAATCAAGCCTATGTTTTATATATAGTTAATGTATGTAGGAAATGTGATAGTTATCATTTTTGATATAAGATACAATTGTCTTTAGACTTTGATGTTAATAAATCAGCATTTAGATATTGACAAAGTATACAGATGTACTGTTATTGGCTTTAAAGATATCAAAGTTCAAAGACATTTACTTTTTATCAAATACTTATGTTAATTAATGTTATTCAATCATGTATTTTTACACAAAATATATTTAAATCAAATTTCACCTATATTGATTGTGTATTCACCTTTACTTCTTAGAGAGTATATTGTGTTCTTGTTACATGTACCAGTAGTTTACTGTAACTCCAATCAACATTGTCTCCATTCAAATGCTTATTTTGATCCCTGAAGTATTATTCCACTGTAGTATAATTTATTCAAGTTATTGCAGCAGGCCAGAAGCTGATTTTTGTTATCGCTATCATACTACTGGTTGTATTGTAATTGGCGTATTTATCTAGTAATTATAAGCCCATGTTTGGTAATAAGTCAATCAGTATGTAATAAAATTGTAAACCAATGCTGTTTCATTGTCATGTAATAAGTCCCTCACTCCTGCTTACAGTAATAAGTAATGTGTTGACCTCCTGGGGTTCTGTAATAAGCCTGCCCCTTGACTTACAGTAAGAAGTAATGTGTTGACCCCCTGGGGTTCTGTAATAAGCCCACCCCATGAATTACAGTCGAAAATAATGTGTTGGCCCCCAGGGGTTCTATAATAAGCCATTCCCTTTACTTACATAAAGAAATAATGTCACAACCCCTGGGTTCTGTGATAAGCCCACCCCTGACTTACAGTAAGAAATAATGTGTTGGCCTTGGGCATATGGTATAAGTATTGTAGGGATTTTTAGCATCCAGCATTTTAAATCGTTTACTCTCAGATGCCTAATACCACCAGTCTGTGATAATGATAATAATGTGATAACAAAGTTCTGATCATTTGTATTCTACAACAGTAAATCGTCAGGACTGGACTGTAATGACCATCTGTTTAGTGACACTGAAATGTAACCTAATCCCCTCCTTATATCACTAATGTAAGATTATCCCACTCGGTCCAGCTGTATGGCTGCCATCTGTTTGTTATACAATACTGATAGTCCAGTTGTTCAAAGCTTTTCAGCTTTGACATTCATAAGCAGACATCATAGTGCTCATATTTTATTTTTTAATTTCAGAAACACAAACATTGTTATTCTAAAAAAAAACCAAAAACAAAACAAACTTTGGATATAAAAGATTGATTACAAGGCACTTTCTTTTGAAATTGTAGAATTTACATTTATACATACTGGTATATTTTCAATAAAACCCATGTTACTATTTATACCGTATCTGTGATCTAATGATAGATCCATCTTCTTTAAAATTAGTGGCTTTTAATAAGGATCAAACTGTAGCACTCTTACAAATGAGTCTGATATTATGTACAGCTGATCAAGCTCTGAATAACTTGGTGTGTTTGTTAGCAATTCAATTTATGTTTGTTTTGTACATCTCATATATTCAAAAGTTTTGGAGAGCTTTACTTTTTTGTACAAATATTTACAAACATTTTCTATAGTTTTCATTGTTATATTTGAAATAATTATACATGTGTTTTAAATGTTAAACAGATTAAATTTGATAGACAATTATTTACGCTAGGTCCGTCCCTAAGTTAAGTAATTCATTTTATTTATCTTGTTTTAATTGGTTACCCACCGTTTTAATGCCAATCTTTGATCTTTATCAAACAAGATCTTTTAATAATCATTTGATATTGAAAAAAGCTTAGTATTAAAGCTCTTAAAGCTCCGCAGGTGAGCACAACATCAAATAGTGTTTTGTCATGTTGTCTTGTTAGCAAAATGACATGACAAATTGACTGATAAACATGTAGTAGCAAAGCATGTACTATTTTAGGCCTAATGTATATATCGTTTCCATGACTACCACTGTAGAAATGTAGGGAAAAACACACAAAAGCTTTGTTGTTACCTATTGCATAATGGCATATTGCCTATTGATAAAGGACAGTAAATGTACCTATTACATAGAATTGATATGTGAATACAAAAAGTGAATATCAAGCTTTGAAATGTATCATTGAATATATTATGTAAAGTAATATCAAAATCTTGATAACCTATAAAACAGTTTTTTTTCTTTTGGAAAAAAAAAATGAGTGGCCATTTTGCTATATGATTAAGTTATAATGTGATTCAGGGTAAATTAGATAGTGAAAAAACGTTTGCTGTAACCATTAGGTCGGGAATAACAAGGTTCCTCATTGTACATAAGCATCATCTCACTCCGAGATGATTACAGATTATTTTCATCACCTATAGTTTACTCAGCTGCTGAAATATTTATCAACGTGCCATGTTTTGTGATGAATTACCCCACCAAGGTCTTTTTAACAGCCAAAATTCACACCAATTTGTCCAATACCCTGGAGAGAAGTTACCAGACTACTAACCCCGAAACATACGGAAATTGGAATTATGTTACAAATTTCTTTTTGTAGATAGTGTTTTTTACTTGAAAACAATTTTGAAAGTAAATTATTTTTGTGTAATGTTGAAAATTAACTTGTATCATTGCTTTAACCTAGTTTAAATCCTATAAATATGTGATTCCTGATTATCTTTGCATTGTTGAGAATCTCTTAAACATGCCATTCTTGCAAATAAAAGCACAATAGACAAATCAAATTCAATATTCAGATAGTGAAATGATTAAGTGTTGATATAAGAATCTCTTGTGGATTGTGTTAGAAGTTGATGAAGTACTTAAGCAGTCATGTGTTTCTCTAGAAGTAAATAAATAATGTTGTAGTGTTTCATCAAAGATAAGGCTGAAGAAATATCACTTTTAATAAATTTCATTGGTGGAGAAATCTCATTATTATTTGTTTAAGTTTCTACTCAAATTTTCATTGTTATACCTGATAACAAAATTTAAACTACTTGAAGATCTTAAGAAGACTGACTTTAGATATCGTTATTGTATCCTTATAAGGCAAGTTTTAGAATCAATTGATGTTATATTCAGTTTGTTATACAGAGGGATTTTATTACAAACAACTTTTCATAGATTGTACATTTGTAATTCAAATTTGATAAGTTATTTCGACTTTGTGAAGTGACTGAGAACATTTGATTTGAATTTGTACAATCTGTTTGTCTTTTGACTATCTATACACATTAGGTTTGAAAAAAAAAAAAGTTTTTCAACATGTCACAAGAAAATGTGTTAACGTGCTGCTGAATAAATGATACTTTGTATGATGTTTAGATTTGTGTCTTTGTTGAATCTGTTCTAAGAATATCTTTTGGATCCATTACTTACCACACCCAGAAAATGTTTACAGTTGCATTCCAACATGAAGAAAACTATTTACGCACAGATCGTTTTTTGTATTAATTTCCACCGTCTCCTCTAAAGTTGCTCCTTGTTTAAGCTAGATTGTTTCAAAATCTGTAATGTGAAACCTGGTGAATGCAAACTGCTGTAATTGTCAACGTTTCTGATCTATTTACAGTTATTACAGACCTTTAGGAATATTTGGATGTTATATGCTGAATAAATTTTATCGTATTAAAGTTTGATTTGGCTCATATTTACAATTTGTTATAGTTGATACGTTTGTGAAGAAGCTATTATTTTGTTGACAGAAAGATCAGCGTGGAGTTCTGTCCATATTCAAACTTCTTTCTATGTCAGTTTGAACTCTTATAACTGCATGAAGATAGCTTACCGAATCATGCATCATATTTTGAGGAGAGACTCCGATCCCAGACTCCACCAGTGGAAGGGAGAAACACCTTCCATACCCTCACCCTCCTCACTTGGAGGTCTGCGGTAGCCGATATACGGTACCCATGGGCATACACACCTAGATGCTATTTTTTTTTTTTTTTTTGTGGAAGGGAGAAACGCCTTCCATACCCTCACCCTCTTCACTTTGAGGTCTGCGGTAGCCGATATACGGTACCCATGTGCATACACACTGAGATGCTATTTTTTTTATCCAGAAACAAAAATATCCAACCTGCTTTCAAAGCGCCTCTATACATATGTAACAAAGACCTGTCTATAAAAGTCACTGGTTTCGTATTCTAATGAACTTCAAATCATACCAAACTTCTGTATAAAGGCCACACACGTTTATAAAGCCCACATTTCTCGGCCCCTTTGATTGGCCTTTGCATAAAGATTGACTACACATTTGAGTGGTTTAATTGGCCGTTTAACATTTTTCCTTTTCCTTTTGATAAAAAAGTTAAGTTTGGATATATTACGATAACATTAACTTGGAACTTATAGCTTATTCTCATAAATAAGGTTTTGTTGCTGCAATCAATGGACACTGCAGCGTTCTCTGTCATGATCGGCTAAGGAATTTAATGTCCCTAAGACCAGTCAGTTGGTGGAGGTTACGTTGGTGAGCAGAACCAGAGGAAAAGATTCACTAATGAAACTAAAGGAATTGTTCGCAAGCAAGATCGTAGAGGAAGCTGGGGTTGCCATGTTGTCGGACATCGGGACACTGTTAGAGCAGTCTACGAGAAAAATAAAGTGGAATAGCAGACGATAAGGAGATGTTTTGTGATGAAGGAAAAATATGAAAGGACGAGATTGAAGTAAGTGTATCAGTAGCAGATGGGGACAGCATTATGAGGATGAACCGGATGTCAACCTACACTAATCTTTCGTGAAGAGGACAAATGCTGA